CTGTTTTCTGGTCCTGCATCTCTGTTTTGGTATGAATGTTTGTGTGCCTTCCTCGTATAGTTTTAAAAATTTGGCATACATTTCATTTACTTCCCTGCCTAGCAACAATTCTGTCCAATTACACTCATTAAAAAAATTTCGAAGTTCCCCATAGTTGCCTCTCTTTAAATCGAGTTTATCAACTGTTTCAATGTCCCCATTTTCTTCTAGATGATATCTTAAAGCATATTTAATGTCTAACAGGACGTGATCACTCTTTCCCAAGGGAGGAAGGTACTGGATGTCAAAAATCTCTTCTTCTTTCCTGGTGAATACTAGATCCAGTACTGACGGTATATCTCCTTCCCTCATTCTTGTGGCTTGCTTTATGTGTTGATACAAGAATGTCTCCAGAATGAGGTTCACAAATCTGCATGTCCAAAAGTCCTCCGTTCTTGCTTCATAGGCCTCCCAGTCTATTGCTCTAAAGTTGAAGTCCCCCAGTATCAACAGTCGTGATTTATCTTTATCTGCTTGTACAATAATATCTCTCATGACCATTATGAGGCCCTCTCGTTTGTCATCCAGTTCTTCCTTTGTCCACGTGTTGCTTGCTGGTGGGCTGTAGGCATTTACAATTATCAGCTTATCATCCTGATTCCAGACCTGCAATGCCATTATGTCAATATCTCGAGGGTTTTCAAATATTAACTCTTTTACCTTCAGGTGTTTTTTCACCAGTACAGCCACTCCTCCTCCCTTCCTAGTTTTCCTGTCACGTCTCCAAACTGAGTAGCCTCTTGGGAATATGACTTCATTTATTATATTTCCTTCAAGTTTCGTCTCTGATAATGCAACAATATCTGGGACCCTAAGCTGGATTATATCTTGCAACTCCAAAGTTTTTGACCTCACTCCATCTATGTTGGTATATACAATTTTCAGAAACATGTTCCCTTTTCCTTTGCTCTTTACTCCCCCTTCCACTACTGATCTTGTTGCTTTGTTTTTATGTACCATTTCACAAGCTTTCCAGTCCCTGTCACTTTGTAAAAAAAAGAATTTCTGTCTTCTTCATTTCTATCCCCATTTAGACGTTTTGCCTCAATTAAGTTCATTTTCAGCTTTTCTCTGTCTTCCTTGGATAGGTCTTGTCTTATTGACCAAAATTTGCCAACCTCATCACTCTGCAGTTTCCTGGCATTTCTTAGCACTTCCATCATGTTTTTCACTCCATTAAAGGTCACCCTTAAGGGGCGGTTCTTTTCTTTCTCATATTTTCCTATTCTTCTAAAATCACTGACATTTTCCTTTGAGCCTTCTCCTAAACCTACTATTTTCTCTATGATTTTCATCTCTTCTGCCGCTCGGTCCACCCTAGATGAAATTTCCTTCTCTAAACATCCAAAAATGATTATGGACTTAGTTCTATCTGCAGTGTTTTGTACCAGTTTACTGTTGGTAACCAGTTCTTTCCTAATTGCTTGCCTAATTTCTGCTTCTTGCTGGTCATTTCTGGTTTTGACTTCCGAACACACTTCTTTGATAGTCTCTTTCTCTTTTACAACTTCAGCATATGTCGCTTTTATTTCTTCTTTATACTTTTCTAGTTCTTTATTCACCTCCTCTATGTGAGTTGTCAGTGAAGTTTCCAGTTGGAGATCCTTACCTAACTCTATGTTAGCCCTTAGGCTTGCTTGGAGTTGTTCACCATATGAGTCTATCTTCTTGTTTATTTCTTCAAAGTCACCACACTTCACTTTCCATGCCTCATTTTCTTTCACTAGTTCCTTGATTTGCTCCTCCTGATTTGTTACCTTGTCTGTTAATGCAGTAATAATCTTACCTTGTTGAAGCATACTCCCTTTTAGAGTGCAAAGCTCACTCCAAAGAGCTCCATTGTCCTCTTCTAATTTAAGCACTTTTTCTTCATACTTCTTTTGCATGTCCTCAATTATCTCTAACCTGCCAAGAACACCTCCTTTCCTTATATCTTGTGGTGAGAATCCTTTGAAACCATCATCTGATGGTGTGTTTACCTTCTCAGTGGGGGTGGTGGCGGCGGCCATCTTTGATTTTGTTCTAGACCAAAACAAACTTTTCCACTCGGCTATTTTCACTCACTTTTACTTGTTTATTGTATTTTATTTGCTTTTACTCTTCCCTGAACCTTTATGTAACCTGGGACACCACTGTAGCCCTCAACCTACTCCCAACACTTAGGTAATTCGATATTTCCAGGAGCTTGCTGCAGTGTGACTTCTGCCTCCTCTCTCTCTCTCCAGATCCCCACAGATCTCCACAGATCCCCACACACACACACACACACAGTGTGTGTGTGTGTGTGTGTGTGTGTGTGTGTGTGTGTGTGTGTGTGTGTGTGTGTATGTGTATGTGTATGTGTGTGTGTGTGTGTGTGTGTGTGTGTGTGTGTGTGTGTGTGTATGTGTGTGTGTGTGTGTGTGTGTGTGTGTGTGTATGTGTGTGTGTGTGTGTGTGTGTAATAGAGATAGAGTTAAGGGGGTGGGAAGGGGAAACATAAAAAGAGTGATAGATAATGATTGTGAATCAAGAATGTAAGGTAATGAGTATTGCCTTTTATATAAATATATACATATCGTAATATGAAAACTATACCAGACAATTAGCGTTGCATGGTAATTAACAGTAACAATTTAGAATGCACGATCTGTGCTATACATTGTTGCAACCAAAACATACTTATTCTCTTAGATAAGTTGCTTGGTATATATATATATATATATATATATATATATATATATATATATATATATATATATATATATATATATATATGTGTCGTACCTAGTAGCCAGAACGCACTTCTCGGCCTACTATGCAAGACCCGATTTGCCTAATAGGCCGAGTGATTTTCTTTATTTTCAATAAATTGTTTCCAATTAGTTTATTTGAATTATTATTATTATATTATATTAGGAACATAATTTATTGACTTAGTTGTGTTAGTTTAGTTAAGGTTAAGATAGGTTAGGTTAGGTAGGGGTTGGTTAGGTTCGGTCATATATCTACGTTAGTTAACAGATTTATCGTTTCATAAGAAAAAAATAGAAAAATATATAAATTCGGGAAAACTTGGCCTATTAGGCAAATCGGGCCTTGCAATAACTGAAAACTCACACCCCCAGAAGTGACTCGAACCCATACTGCCAGAAACAATGCTTCTGATGTACAGGATCCCCTAACAACTAAGAGATCCTGTTAAGGGATCCTGTACATCAGATGCATTGTTTCTGGCAGTATGGGTTCGAGTCACTTCTAGGGTGTGAGTTTTCAGTTGCATATATGCCTGGAGACCGTTCAGGCTTGTTCGCATATATATATATATATATATATATATATATATATATATATATATATATATATATATATATATATATATATATATATATATATATATATATATGTCGTACCTAGTAGCCAGAACGCACTTCTCAGCCTACTATGCAAGGCCTGATTTGCCTAATAAGCCAAGTTTTCATGAATTAATATATTTTCTCTAATTTTTTTCTTATGAAATGATAAAGCTACCCATTTCATTATGTATGAGGTCAATTTTTTTTTATTGGAGTTAAAAATAACGTAGATATATGACCGAACCTAACAAACCCTACCTAACCTAACCAAACCTATCTTTATAGGTTAGGTTAGGTTAGGTAGCCGAAAAAGTTAGGTTAGGTTAGGTTAGGTAGGTTAGGTAGTCGAAAAACAATTAATTCATGAAAACTTGGCTTATTAGGCAAATCGGGCCTTGAATAGTAGGCATAGTAGTGCGTTCTGGCTATTAGGTACGACATATATATATATATATATATATATGTCGTACCTAATAGCCAGAACGCACTTCTCAGCCAACTATGCATGGCCCAATTTGCCTAATAAGCCAAGTTTTCATGAATTAATGTTTTTTTCGACTACCTAACCTAACCTAACCAAACTTTTTCTGCTACCTAACCTAACCTAACCGATAGAGATAGGTTAGGTTAGGTTAGGTAGGGTTGGTTAGGTTCGGTCATATATCTACGTTAATTTTAACTCCAATAAAAAAAATTGACCTCATACATAATGAAATGGGTAGCTTTATCATTTCATAAGAAAAAAATTAGGAAAAATATATTAATTCAGGAAAACTTGGCTTATTAGGCAAATCGGGCCTTGCATAGTAGGCTGAGAAGTGCGTTCTGGCTATTAGGTACGACATATATATATATATATATATATATATATATATATATATATATATATATATATATATATATATATATATATATATATATATATATATATATATATGTGTGTGTGTGTGTGTGTGTGTGTATATCACGAAAATAAACACGTGATTAAGAATGTGACAATGTCAGACCACGGAGGAAAATGAAACAGGAATTTCCTTAAGTACTTTCGTATATTAAATACAAATGATTTGATTTCCTTCTGAAGATGTATTTAATATACGAAAGTACTTAAGGAAATTCCTGTTTCATTTTCCTCCGTGGTCTGACATTGTCATATATATATATATATATATATATATATATATATATATATATATATATATATATATATATATATATATATATATATATATATATATATATATATATATATATATATATATATATATATATATATATATATATACTGTATATATATTGGGTAGATATTTATAACATAAGTTATTTATATTTGAAGCTCTTATACCAAATTTATTTCTAATTAATGTACTGTCTATTACAATTTTTTTAATATTTAGATTTTATCTTGGAATTTTGTACATAAAATGCTTTTTATCATTTGAATTCTATATGTGGTTTATAGCTAAATATTTTGAACTACAGCATAGAGTTGTCCGCGGTGCTCATCGTTTGATGTTCAGGCACCATGATTAAGAAAAGGATGTACAGGTTTCGCAATTGGTTGTGTAAATGATTAATGAATCCCGGTCTAGGTTTCTAAACGTGAAGGCGAGTAACTCTTTGTCCCTTGTCAGGTTCTGGTTCTGGCCGTGTTGGGCCGGGCGGCCGCCGACACCAAGGTCGCCTTTCCCTACCATCTTCCTCTGCTGACATCTGCCTCAGTCGCCCAGCCTGTTGCTTCTGGCATCTACGGCCATCCTACCATCACCCAATACGCTGCTCCAGTTCCTGTCGTCAAAAATACTACCACTGCTATTCGCTACAGTGTACCTGCTACCCAGTACGCCATCCCTGCTGCCCGGTACGCCTTCCTGCCGCCCAGTACGCCACCAATGCCGCCCAGTTCGAAATTTCTAACGCCCAGTATGCCATTCCTGCCGCCCAGTACGCCTTTCCTGCCACCCGATACGCCATCCCTGCCACCCAGTACGTCCTGCCTGCCGACGAGCGGTCAGTGATGGATGCCCCAGCAATCGTAGCTAGAACTTCCATGGTCGCTCCCTCCGTCATCAATATCGACGACGACGATGATATAGAAGTCACAGCGTATGGGATTATACGCACCGACAACGACTTGGATTTGGATTCCACGCGTTACAGAAGCCTCGACGACGACGACCACTTCGAGATTGAAAATGATGATGACCGGAAGTAAATATGTCTTTTATGACCACGTGAGCAGCGTACAATATGTGTGCTTTTACCCTACCATAAGCACGAAACCAACACCAACCCACCTAGCTTTTGGTTCCAGCATAAATATTGTTTTAATTACTAAAAAAAAAAAACTTAATATGAACTTTTGTGTCCCCAGGGTAAAAATAAAATACATTACGAGGGCAGGTTTAAAATTATGACGACATACTGAGATATGAGGATAGATTGATGTATGAGAATAGATTGACGTGTGAGGATAAAATGATGCGTCAAGATTGATTGAAGTAGACACATATAAGGATAGTGTGGATCACTGAAAGGCCCACGACCCAAGAGTTGGACCTCAGAACTACATAATCCCATCATACAGCAATTTTATAATTAATATGAAACTTGTTGATATCGCATTGCGACAGCTGAAGTAGATCGCACATTGGAAGATACTCGTCGATAAGTTTGCAAGAAATAAACAATGATACATATACATGCATGTTTAATTTTGGTGTACCTTCATTCAAACTGCTTGATGTTTCGAGGCAAATCATACGAGGTTTGAACTACATTTCGTCTTGGATGCGTTGCCTGTATTATGTTCCATAATTGAATAGTGATGATACCTTGCATAATTCTACTAATGTCTATAGTTTTTATTACTGTCTACAGTTCATTATTGTCTATAGTTCAATATTGTCTACAGCACATTAATATAGTTCATTACTGTCTACAGTTCATTATTGTCTTTAGTTATTACTGTCTATAGTTTATTATTGACTGTAGTTAATGTCTATTATTCATTATTGTCTATAGTATATTATTGTCTATTGTTCAATATCTATAGTTCGTTACTCTCACTAGCTCATTTATGTCTATACAGTGGTTCATTAATGCCTAAAGTTTATTGTCTATAGTTTGACAATATAAATGTTAATAATTGACTAGCTGGGGTACCCGGCAGTGCCCAGGTATCTCTCGCTCTCTCTCCACCTCCTTCCTGTTCTTTCCTACCTACCTCACTCTTCTCTCTCAGAATGGGAATAAGGTTCCTCTCCAATTTGGAACTTGCGACCGGCCTCTTGTTCACACCAATCAGCGCTTCATTACTCGGCACTTACTTGAGTTAAACTCAAGCGCTACTAGTAGGACCAATCATTCAGCTTGTTCTGGTCATCCTGTAGCTTCTTGCAGTCCTCAACCATGTTGACCAGACCACACACTAGAAGTTGAAGGGACGACGACGTTTCGGTCCGTCCTGGACCATTCTCAAGTCGATTCAAGAATGGTCCAGGACGGACCGAAACGTCGTCGTCCCTTCAACTTTTAGTGTGTGGTCTGGTCAACATACTTCAGCCACGTTATTGTGACTCATCCTCAACCATATTTATCCTCATCAGCAAACATTGCGACGAGTAAGTCTAGGCCTTTATGAGATCATTACATAGATCAGGAAAATAATGGACCCAGGGTAGAATGTAACTCTACTTATATCTCGCCAAACTATGAAGTATCTGCTCACACTGTGACTGCCTTTTGCCATTACTAAACTCACGCAGGAGAAGTGTTATCAAAGTTCTTCTCTTCACTTCTTCTATTAACCTCTTATTTAATTATTTTCATTGTATGATATACAAGTTAGAAGCACTTGTTTAACCCTTCCTGAATGTCTCCATTTTTGTATATTGGTATTATATTTGCCGTCTTCCAACTTTCTGGCAGTTTTTATGTATTCTTGGGCTTCTAATATATCAAAGCTGTCAACTTTAGGATTCAACTCCCTTGCTTAGTATCTCTGGTAACCTCAAAATATTTGTCTGAGTGACCTCAACTTTTTCTGCACGCAGAGCCGAACCTCAGCGCTTAGACGCTGGCTCTCCAGCGATGCCGTAGCAGGTGGAGGGTAGTAATATTTTATTATGGTGGACTGGACGCTATAGTCAGGAGGAAAGGTGGGCTCACCACCGTGGCCAGAAGGAAGGGTGGGCTCACCAGTGTGGCCCAGGAGGGTGGGCTCACCACCGTGGCCAGAAGGAAGGGTGGGCTCACCAGTGTGGCCCAGGAGGGTGGGCTCACCGCTGTGGCCAGAAGGAAGGGTGGGCTCACCAGTGTGGCCCAGGAGGGTGGGCTCACCACCGAGGCTAGAAGGAAGGGTGGGCTCACCACCGAGGCTAGAAGGAAGGGTGGGCTCACCACCGTGGCCCACCCAGGAGGGTGCGGCTCCAACAAGCTCTTCACCTTGACCTTGATCTCAAAACTAAGGTCGTTAAGTCTTTCGAAACCTCTTGAGCAACCGCGGCCCACACGGATGCCCACCTGTGCACACCCCTACCATGAACACCCCTTACCGCTGCCCACACTCGGTAACTCCCGCCGCCTTAGTAACAGGTTACATTAGCGACAATTACTTCCAGACCTTTGTTTGCTTCTGGCAGTTCTTCGGCGTCCATACTTGTCTCTTCTAAGCTCAACATTAACTCTCACGATACCATCTATGTATATTATGCAAAGGCTCGTTCTAAAGTCCAATATGTGTAGCCCTCCAGTAAGTACGTCCAGTGTGTCAATGACTTTGTAAACGCACATTAATGACATGTAAAACAGACACATCGAGCACTGTTTATGTAGTGCAGACGTAAATCTGTGTATTTCTGTATGTAGGTTAGATTAGCATTTTATAAGCACTACAATCACCTTCTGTGGTTAATAGTTCAATAAAACACTGAACTATATGTTAAAACAGATCTCTAACCCTGTCCATGGATGACAGAAGAAAATGTATATATGTTGATTAGCATTGTAAATGTGTGGCCACGTCTGTGGTAGAAAAAAATGTGCATTTCCGCAAAGCGAGGACGTTTATGATACACATCTATGTCAACCAAATTAATTGTCTTTTATAAGGAATATATTTGTATTCTGAAAAGACCCGAGGTAAATACTGGTTTGGAAATAGGGATGTTATTTGTTAGAGTAAATTACGGGTATTAAAATTTGGGTGTAAAGGGTGAGGGGGATGAAAGTCATACAATGGAATTTGTATGTCTTTCATGACTATTATTTTATCATAACTTGTAATGGCTAGTAGTCTGTCATCATTAGAAGTTTGTCGTGGATGGTAGTGTTTCATGACTAGTATTGAATCATGACTAATATTGTTATTTTTATTTTATTTAGCTCAAGAAGAATGTCTTTAAAATGGTACGAGTTAAATGAGTGTCTCCCTGACTGATAAACAATAGTATTGATAACAAAATACGATTTATTCTCTCAACAATGAATTCAGACGTATACAGTAAATTTAACATATTTGCCTTGTACCATAACACAAGATGTGAGTTTCCGTCACTGATTCTATGACGATAAAACTTATTTGCATTTGTTTTGTAATTTTCGGTAATATAAGTGTCTTACATTCATCGAGACAGGTATCTTGATGGTTGCCAGTACACCCTTCCATGTATATCGTATCATGTATACCTTATGTATACTCAGATATGTACACCCTGATATGTAGACGCTACTATGTGCACGTTCCCCTGTTATGAGCACGCTGCTGTGTACACCCAGCTACGTACATCATCCCACGTGCACTTTATGAAGCCCACAGCCATCAGATACTAGAGACTCTCCCTTACCTTATAAGATGATCCCCACGCTCAGAAAGTCGCACTCAGTCTTCAGACTACTGGCGTCCTCGAAGAATTAACCAGGTTACGATATTACAGTCTATCGTAATACCAGTCAGGCCGTTGTTACGATACCACAGCCTACCCACAGTCTATCTTAACTCTGCTTTTCTTGGATTCTGTAAAAAAAAATAACACTAGTTAATCTAAAAGTTACAATGTACAGTTTTGTATAATAGGTCTGTTATCGTTATAACTGTAACGATATAACTGTAATATTCTAGCCAAACGGTGGCCAAATACCAGTTAATCCAGCTCTCAAATCCCCGTTTATGTAACCTGTCCTCTCTAATAGTACATCACATTTTGACGTATAAATCCCTTAAAAGCCAAGAAATGATTAACTCAAAATCATAGCAGCCCGCAAAATTGACTTGATGTCCCGTCCGTTTTCTATTCGTAGGTCCTCGGTTAGGTTAGCTTCGGGCAACTTAGTACATCATTTAAGTGACGTTGTGAACGCTAGAGAGGACGGGCTAGTTTATTAAGGAAAAACAATTTACACACAATTTACAATTTACACATCTGATTACGTTCGAATTTCTCTCGAACAGTATTTCTTCTCTGACTCTCGCTGCTCGAATCGCATCCACCAACGTAATACAAATTACAAATAATTTACAACAGACCCCAAAACCTAACCTAACCTACACACAAAATGTATTATAGAGTATTAATTTAGATTTGAGCATATAACGATTTTGAGTGCCTAGTACTTTAAGACATGAATACGTCTTTGGGGTCAACCGCGGCTTGGACGATCATAGCCTAAGGACAGATTGAAATTGAAATTGAAATTGAAATAAGTTTATTGAGGTAAAATACACACAAAGGGATGAGGTAGCTCAAGCTATTCTCACCCCGTTCAGACAGATTGAAAGTTTCACCCCACGAGCCGTAAATTCAAATAACTGACAACAGAATCAAAACGCCTAACCTAACTTATCCTAGGCCTAACTATAACTAATATGTTAAAATGGCTAAACACATATCTGGTGTCGTCCACTGCTATGTATTTACGGTTGTTGGTTAGCTTAGCATTTTAAAAGCATTACAATCACCTTCTGTGGTTGATTGTTCAATAAATCCCTGAACTATATATTTAACAAATCTCTAACCCTCTCCATGGAGGAGAGAAGAAAATGTATATATGCTGGTTAGCATTGTAGATGTGTAGCCACGTCTGTGGTAGGATAATAATAATAATAATAATAATAATAATAATAATAATAATAATAATAATATTATTATTATTATTATTATTATATATTATTATTAATAATAATAATAATAATAATAATAATAATGCTTAGAGGAGCCAAGCCCGAGGAAGAGGTCGCCTGGACCTGAAGTACATCTCAGCCCGTCCTCCCAATAGAACGTCGCATTTTGACATATACTCTAAGGCCAAAAATTGTCGTACTAGTAAAGGGTGGGAGGTTGAGAGGTTGGTGGGAGGATGTTGGTTCTAACGACTCAGAATGCTGCAACTGTCGCTTGTGAAACCCACTTCTGAGAGCAAAGGAAACTATGTTCTTTCCCATAGGTCTGAGACCCGCTGAGCCACATAGCTTTAGCTCCTCTGGCTTGAAGAAATTATTCTTTAGCCATATCCAGCTGTAGACATTAATGTTTTGGATATAGCCATATCCAAAACTCCACACCTCAGAAGGATCCCAAGTTTTTAAGTTTTAAGTTGCATATTGGCTTGGGACCATTCAAGCTTGTTCGCATTATATATTTATATTTATATATATATATATATATATATATATATATATATATATATATATATATATATATATATATATATATATATATATATATATATGACTAAGGAGACTGGAAGATCCTGCACTAGTCACGCAGTGGAACGGATTTGATGCTAATCAAGTCATGCTCAGTAAGGACTTGATTCTAACCCAGTCAGGCGGGTAGAGGCCTTGATCTTGATTAACCACTCTGAGGAGATTCACCAACACGTAACAATAAACTTCTGACCAACGTGAAACAAGCTTGTTTCCAGTTAACGTCACAATTCTTGTTTGACATCGTTATTCACATTTAGCATTGTTATTCATACGTTGAGTTCATATAATGTACCTTGAAACGAGAATGTAGTTGCAACATCTTAAGATACAAACAGGTCCTGGGACGGCGCGAGACTAGGCTTCCCTCTGGCACCGACCAAACAGCAACAAGGCACCAGCCGCCGCCGTTACCATCTACGGATCCCGTGAGAAAGTTCCGGGAGATGTCAGGGCGGAGGCTCGTGAATTGTGTTTGCGTTAACGACCGCCAAAATGAATACAAGGTTAGAGTACCAGAACCATCATGAGTGCGAGGTTATAGTACCGGGACCAGAGGAGAGTACTCTCGCTATGGAGGTGTTGGTCAGGCAAGACACAGAGTGGCTGATGGTTCCTGGATAATGAAAGGAAAATGTTAGAACTATTCACAACTGTCAACCAGGCCAGTATTCACAAAGCCCTTACGTGTCCACCCAAACACGTCGTACCTCAATAATGACGGCTTAACTGGCATTTACTAACACTTTACGAACTCTGAAACTACATAGGGTCGCCAATAATAATACAACTTACCAATCTTGGTTGAGAACGACCTCGGAGCGCTTTGGAGCATCGTAAACTGCTCAGTAAATACTGAGTATAGAGGGTAAGAAGTGCAGCTCTCGTAAGTGCTCTGTAAATCTTGGCCCAGTAAGCAAGCGTAAATACTCGCAGTCCCGACCCACTCTTATCCCGCCCTCAGGAGCCCTCACTAGCCCTCACCACACCCCACACGAGCCCTCAGTCATTCCCACTTCATCATCATTATCAGTTTTTGCCCCATGGTGTGGTCCTCCTGGAGCCAACAGCCCGCATGCGGATATCACGATCCTCCACCGTGGGCGTGAGGTGGCTGTGACGTCAAGGGCGTGACCGAGGTCAAGGGGAGGGCTGGTGCAGTAGTGGTATCGGTGGGGTCAAAGCTCAGGGGTCAGCGTAAATGTCAGCTTGAGAAGACGAGAGATACGCTTAGCTGATGAGCCGGTGATATTTACCCAAGAGGGTAAGTGTTACCTGTATCGTTATATTTCTTAAGGCGGTGCGGTTGCGTATTGGGGTCCGTTGCTGGCCCCGTGGCTGGGGTCCGTGGCTGGGGTCCGTGGCTGGGGTCCGTGGCTAGGATCCGTGACTGGGATCCGAATTTGCATTACGTGACAGGGGTACGAAGCTGCAGCGACTAGTTTACGCTAAAAAAAAGATATCCAAAAAAAAGTCTTTCAAAAAGATTACCATGAAGACAGACACACAAGTAAAAATATAACCAAATTCATGAACTAAGAGAACGATAGCCAAAGTATACAGGTAAGCTATCATAACCGGGTACAGGTAAACCATTTGTAAAATAACCAAGAAAACAGCTTAATTATAAAATGTAAGATAATCAAGATGTTCTGAATAACGGGTAACCTATAAATCAAGATAACAGGGTAGTCTGGTAAACTATCAGGAAAAATATCAGAGTTGACAGGTCAACTACCAGAAATAACTGGGTAGACAGGTAAATTATCAGAAAAATCAATTGGAGAAGGTATACCATCAGAAAGATAACAGAGTAGATTGGCAAACCATTAGAGATACCCAGGTAGATATTACACCTTGACTTCCTGACACAGACAAGGACGAGTGGTGTTATGTTAATCACTCACGGACCTCGCACACCCAGAACTACATGGGTTTAACCGTCGATGATGGTGTAGAGGTGGAACTATTATCTTCAGCAGTGCCAGTGTCGCCCTTCCCACCACATGTGGCTTGTAATTATCCTGTTATTTTATGGCAACTCTCAGATCATCCTGAAGCGTTAGGAGAACTTTTCCAATTACGATCCATATTTCTTGCAATTTAAATTTTGGATTACATTCTTCATACCTAGAATTCAGTAACAGTGCTTACTGGACAAACACTGCATGTATATTAAGGAAAATAAATTAAAAGGTAAATTGGAAACCAGGAAGAAACACTAGAGCAAATATTTTTTTCTTGAAGGATGGCGTGTGGGGGAGTGTGGCTGGGATGGAAGAGGTATATATAGGGGCAGCCAGCCGGCTGGTATCACAACACAGCTCTCCTCGGCAACATGAAGTCTCTGGTGAGTAGCTCTTCGCACTTTGTCCTGGATTATGTTCAGGACTAAGGTACACTTACTGGCTGGACAGTAAGCTCTTTTGGTGGTCTATATATCGCTTATGTGGTTGATGGGCCGTTAAACACAACACGAAACCTAGACAAAGCTCTTCACACCTATCAGCAAGTTATTTGTCCCATATACCTAGTTATATTCATTGATATCTGCTTGCAGGGTCGAGCCTCAGTTCTTAAGCCACGCCTCTCAGCCATATGTAGTTTAATGACTAGTCATTCTGTTGTCTTATAATATTTAAAGCAAAGATTGTGTTATGAACTAGCTTCCAAGACTTTATCATCTAATTACCTTTGTTCACGGCTCTTACGGTAAAGAAGTTCTTTCTGGCATGTGTCACTCATTTGTATCTCGTTTCCATTGGTGTCCCCTCGGTCTACTGGTTCTCACTTAGAACAATGCTGATCAATGCGCTTGGTCAATTCCCGTTAGAATCTTGTATGTAGTTTCATGTCTTCCATGTTCCTTCTTTTTTTCCAGTGTTGTAAAGTCGCGTTCCCTCAGTCTTTCTTCCTAGCACAGAAATGAGCCTTGTTGCATATTTTGCACCTTTTCTAGTTGTGTCTCTTTAAATTGGGGTACCATGCTGGGCCAACATTCTTGTGAGTTGGTCTCACATAGGTTGAATATAGCGTTCTGGAGGCTTCTTTGAGTTCCTGGGGGCTATCTGGGCGTTGGCGAGTTAGGAGTACGCTACCAACGTTATTCTGCCAATATGTGCCACCTGTGTTAGACTTCAAGTTATGTTTAGTCACATCTATTTTTTAGTGAGAAGCTTCCTCCCATTCATTACTCATACTCTTATTCCTATCATTATAACCTTCTATCTGCATGGATTAAAATCCGCTAGCTATTTCTCAGACCGTCTATGGAGATTTGGGTCGGCTGGTAGCAGAGGTTTTAAGTCAACCAAACTAACTTAGTCAACACAGTTGACTAAGTTTTAAGTCAACTGTGGATCTGTGGACCACAGATCTCAGCCGACACCTTGAGATCTGTGGTCCACAATGCTTTTACTAATACTTAAAGCAATATATGCCGTTCACAGGATGTAAATAATAATACTCATTAATATCCATGCGTGTGGTGCCACATCTTACGGTTCACGAAATGTGTGATAGCACTGCTCACTGAACAATCCTTCTCCTTAACAGTACATCGTATTTTGACGTGTAATTTCTACAACCCAAGAACTGATGTACTAGAAATGGTAGCGGCTCGCGAAAATGACGATGTCCCGTTTTCTGTTATTGGGTCCTGGGGTAGGTTAGATTCAGGCAATTTAGTACAACAGTTTAGTGACGTTGGGAACACTCTGGCGAACGGGCTGCTTTGAGCTCTCCGAGACCAGGCAACACGGCGACCGATCTCCTCTCCCGCTGTTGGGGTTCTTATCTGGGTTTATAATCCCTCCCTCTGTGATAAAATCCACCGATGTGTTAATAATACGGTTAACTTACAAATACGTGTTTATAAAATTACATTTACAAATGAGTGACAATTTCTCTCGTATTTATTGGAGGACGTTTTAACAGCACTTGATATAGCATCAGTTTGCTAGTTCATGAATGTCCCTGCTTTCATAGATTCTATGTTATTCAAAGGATCTCACATCATTATGATATTATAATCCATCCCCAATGATTGGCTTTACCATAATACGACCGCGAGTCGATGAAGACTCGCGGTCGATTGGAGATTGGCATTGGAGATTCTTACCTGTTGCAATGGCCAGCTATATTTATTCCTTACTTATTGCATAGTGTGCGTATTCAGGCGGCTAAATTTGTGGACACGCGGTGGTTGAGCTGTAGACAACATGGCGCCCAATTTAAACATCTCACTTCACCCAAACTGCTTGCTTATAACTTTTGATATCACTTTGAAAGGTTTCTCTTTCACTATTACTCTCTTGTTTTTACAATGCCTGGTGTGTGTTTCTTAGGTTTTGATGGTGGCGGTGGTGATGGGAGCGGTGGCAGCTGCAGACCGCAGAGAGAGGTCAGCCAGCCCTGGTGATGATGGCTGGGTTCTGCACGCTGCTGTACCCTACGTGCAGGCCCGCCCTGCCGTCGTACAGTACTCGCAGACACCGTACGTCGTCCAGCACCAGCCTCTTGTTCACTACAAATTCGACGACGATGACATCTTCGATCGCAAGAAGCGTAGTGCTCCAGAGGCTTCACTCGACGCCAGCCGTCAGAAGAGAGCTGCCAGTCCTGATGACGATAACCTCAAGTGGTATCGTCCAGGGACCAGTGTTGTCTACTCCAGGCCAGTAGAACATGCTGTAGTACAGCCTGTGGTACACAGCGTGGTACAACCTGTGGTACATCGTGTGGTACAGCCCGTGGTACATCGCGTGGTACAGTCCGTGGTACAGCCTGTGGTACATCGTGTGGTACAGCCTGTGTTGCACCAAGTTGTGCCCCAAGGCTACGCCCAACCTGGCCATGTTGTTCTCCACCGCGGCTATGACGACGACAAATAAAGTGATTTGTATCATAACTTGTCCTGTCCTGTCGTGAGTGTTGTCACAATTTGCCTTCTAAATTTTGTTGAAATATCAAGCCACTGAGATGCTGATTACGTTCCATATCTGTAATAATTTGAATAATAAATTTCATATGAAAAAAACGTTTATACTTTCATGTCCTTTACTTTGTATTTCCCAGATAAACTTCCACATAATAAATAACCCAACCCAAACACTAAATTAAATAAATATGTTCATAATGTGTTGACGAGGATTTCACCCACGTTAATGTGACAATCTCTACATTTGCATATATGCTTAGCAATATTAGGCCGAATAACGCACGAATGGTTCGTCACTATCTTATTCAATTCAAGTAAAGTTTTTACTCTGCTTGACGTTCCTGTACACGAATAGTCCTCAAACCTCATTAATAAAATAAAAAAAAATATGAAGCCTATATAAATAGGCTTCATAGAAAATATAAAAATAGAATATAAAAAAATATCTAATATAAAAATAGAAAATAGAAAAATATGAAGCCAAAATACTGAAGAACAGTATTTTGTTTAGTTTACATACGAATTTTAGAGCTTCATCAGTCGATAATTTCTGAACACCCATCTTGCCTTCAATGTATACTTGTTTTGAACTCTATGTATACATTGTCCGACCGTCCTTTGAACCCACCACCATGGGTTGTGAAGGTTAGAGATGGTTGGCTTGGAGGCGGGTTGGTGGGATGAGTGGTGGTGTTGGTTGTGGGAGAAGTGAGGTTGTGGGTGACACTTTAATTGTACTGGTTAATTAGGTAAAGTATCCAGCAGCGCCCGGGTATCTTCTTCCGTTTTCCCCTTCTCTCATCTCTCTTTCTCTATCCCCAATTTCATCTCATCTACAATTTTCTCTCGATCATCCCCCCCTTATATTCTCTCTCCCTCAATCTCCCCCTCCAACATCTCTCTCTCTCTCTCCCTGCCTTCTCCTTCCTATCTCTCTATTTTTTTTTTATTAACATATTAGGTACATCTGCATTAGTGCAGCTACCCTAGACTATATGAAGTGGAGTACAGTGTGTCAAAAAAAAGCTAACTAGGTGATGCTAAAAAATCCCCATCACACAGAATGGTTAGTCATACAGAGGCATGTGATAAGCGGTCTGCACTGGCAGACTCCGGATGCATTTTGAGGATATCAACAACACAAGATTGAATAAGGTAGCAGTGGTAATACAAGTCCCCATCTCGCAGGATGGTTAGTCATACGGAGCTATATCTCTCGGAACCTATACGGAGCCTCTCTATATCTCTCAGAAAAACTGAAGAACTCTAGGGACTTTACAAGCCACCTTTCACTAATTAAGTGAAGGGGGGGAGGAGGGTCGCCACATTTCGGCGCGACCCCCTGAAGCAGTTAAAAATGTGTAAACACAAATCCCAATTAATCTCTTGAACTAGTTCACAGTAAACCTAGTTCACTGTCTGGGCTACATGTCCCAACACGAAGATGCAAGCCGGAGGAGACAGGGTTCCACGGTCTAGCATGGCCACAGAGACCTAGATATAACACTCTTAATCTGTCTTCTATCCTTTGACCAGACGAGGGCCTTCACAAGCCGCTCTCAACTGTCCTGAGAGTCGATGGGGTTCACTATCTTTCCACCATAGAAATGTGGCGTTCCGAAGGGGAGCGAGGGTACGGGTCGGAGTGTGGAGCTGGATGCTGGGAGAACTCTGGTATACAAGAGACATCAATACAGCTCAACAGACAGATAGACAGGCAGGCAGGTACGCAAGCTGATAGACATACAAACAGTTCAACAGATAGGCGGATAGACTATGAAGAAGAGACAAAGAATGAGATAAATATTTTTGTAATTATTGTTCATTATAATAAAGTTTTAATTCATCAATATCCATCAACATTTTTCATAACTAAGCTAATTAATTACACAACCAAGAAGGAATCCTTTAACGTCATGAAATAAGTCATATTATCGAAAATTCAATACAGCCAACGAAAACACGCCACTCGTTCACAAGACTGAGTACGCATGCTTGAAACTACCAAAAGGGGGTCTGGGTCCCTGGGGTTGAAATAGTCCGGTTGTTGACATGGCAGTAAACGGTTACCCATCCACACACGAGCGTGCAACTCTTGCTAGTGTTTTTAACGGTCCTGTACGTTTTTTTGGTTTAAATTGCGTACTCCTGCCCCGACAAGTCACGGAAATCTAGAAACGGGTGATATATTATAGTTGATTGTGTTGCAAAGGTGTGTTTAGACCGTAAATGTGGCTGGACGACCTTCTACACATACACTAACACACGCACAAATCTTTTTACCTATAGGCAAGAAATTTTAGGAGTTAGTGTTGCCCGGAACGGTGTGTATGTTAGTGGCTTTAGGCATAGCATGCACTAGTTCTATCTATAAATCCAACATTATGTTTGTAACTCATCTTGTATGTATGTACTTTTACCTGAATAAACATTTGATTTGAAAGATCAAAGTTCATACAAAATTTTAAAAGCTATTTTATTAGCTATACACTAACCAACACGAAGGTGGACATATATAAAATTAAACTTGTGATGTGATTTTTAATTCCTCTACATCTAAATGCGTCTCGTCTTCTGGTAAATATAATATGTTCTTCATTGTGCTTATACCGTGTTCTTAAATAATACCTTCAATAGGAAATTAAAAAAAGTAACGAAATAATACTAAAATGGGTGGCGGGTGATAATTTCTTCTTTACGTATTCCAATCGTGTGACTGTCACTGAGAATGTGAGAGAGCCGTTACTATGAACAACATTGTCATTTCAGCCCAACCATTAATATTTAAAGTACTTATGGTACCAATTTGCTCGAAATTACCAATATGTAGTGATGAACCACAAGAAAGATGATTTGTATTGTTGAATTTGGACAAACCAGAAAAATTTTAACCGCAACATTATATATATATATATATATATATATATATATATATATATATATATATATATATATATATATATATATATATATATATATATATATAAGACCTAACCTAACTTTTGATACCAATCCTTGGCTAAATTAATACATGCTTAGTCCTAATATGGTATCTATCCTGGTAGTACAGTAGGATTTGTTCTCGACGCACAATCGAGAATTTGATCATGGAATAAACTATCATGATCAACCAGGCTGTGATTCACAGTACTTTACAATTGCACTGTATTGTGTGCTACCAAAAATGTGCCTATGCCATATAACTTCACAGTTGTAATCACTGCCATCATTTTATATCATGGTTATTATTTTGAACGCAAATTTTACTACAATGTACCTAGAAATAATCCTCAAATTATGCTACAATGTACCTGTCGATAATCCTCAAATTTTACTATAATGTACCTACTAATTTTCTTCATATTTTCTTACAATGTACCTGTTAACTTTTTCAATTTTGCTACAAATTACCTACTTAAAATTATTTGTTAGATTACGGACCTGCCCTAATCGCTATGCGTGTGGAGCCCCAGGAGTTCCTCAGGGTGACAAACACCGGCCCCGCCCCACACTGAGAACACTGGGTAGCAAAACCAAAAACTCGGCCCCCAGCTAAAACGCAAAAGTCATCCAGTGCTCTCCGGCGGAGCAAAAACCGGCCGCCCACCACGGCTGAAGGCCCACCAGGAGAACACCAATCCCTGGCACCTCTCGGCCAAGCCAGCGCCGGACACCGTCACCCCGCCGGGAGAACCAACCAGAACACGTAAAAAAAAAACTATCAACAATCCCGTGACCCAAGGCGATATGTGCGCCAGGCGTCGTATAACCGGGCCATTGAATAGGGACGCCAAACGGCAGTATCAAATCCAAATCGCAAAACAAAATGTGATCAGGCGGCTCCCAGGGGCAGGAGGCGTCCAGCAGACGTCCGCTGGCCGTCAGGGATGAACCAGCCTACACATGGTAGTCACGGGATAGGTACTCACCTAGTTGTGTGTTTGAGCTTTGGCTCTTTGGTCCCGCCTCGTAGGTCGGTAGGTAGGTCGACCATGGGGGACGGCGGATGTAAACACGGGGGGAAGCCATGCCTATCTTAGCTAAATAGTACCACCGTGTAACAGTTATCTTCTTCCTTATTATTCGTTGGAGTATTTATTACCTCATAATTATCAAAATTATATCAGGAAAATATCTTCCCTTTTATGAGACACTGTAGGCTACATAAGTGGTTTTGCTCACTTTATATTTAGCACTCGCGACGTTCCTACGAGAACCCCGGATAAATCTCCTTCATTAGATGTAATTTTCTATCATAATGTTTTGTCTTAGCTTCACTGTTTGTTGAATACTCTTATTTCAAGCACTATAATATGGAGTGAAGGAAGAGCGACACACACCACGCGACACCACAACGCACTGTGGGCATCGCAGCTCCTGGTGGTCATACATCTTTCCTCGGTGTTTGGCGCCATGGTTCACATTTTTATTTACATTTGTAAACAGTTTACGAGCATTGGAACTTCCCAATCAAATGTTATTATTGTTATAAGCAGCATTTTGGTGCTTCGTAGCTCATAAACCGTTTAATAAGTGTAAACAATGCCGCCAAAGATTGAGAAAAGATGTATAGGTTCGTAAGTTGATTCGTAAATGCGACCCGTCTGACCCACAAATGTATGATGGGGATAACTTAGACTTACCAGTGTAATACACAGCATTTGCAGTTTAAGAAGTTTGTTATTTTAAATTAAGATGTATAGATTGACATCTGTTGTGCCTGTAACCAAACCACACATCAGAAAATGGAGAAACGTCGTTTCGTTCCGACCATTATTTCTATCAAGTCGTGTAATTACACGACTTGATGGTGGTCCAGGTACATGGACCATTTTCATGTTAATAGTACATCCGATTCATGTAATTACACGATTTGATAATGGTCCAGAACGGACCGAAACGTTTCTTCATTTTCTGATGTGTGGTTTGGTCATCTTATCTTCAGTCACGTTACTGTGACTCCTCGTCTGTCTGTAATCCTTTTTGTTCCATAGCTCACAGGATGAGTATGGCGCGCGCACAAGATGAGTATGGTGAGCTCACAGGATGAGTATGGCACGCTCACATGATGAGTATGGTGCGCTCACAGGATGAGTATGGCGCACTCACAGGATGAGTACGGCGCGCTCACAGGATTAGTATGGCACACTCACAGGATGAGTATGGCGCGCTCACAGGATGAGTATGGCACGCTCACAGGATGAGTATGGCGCGCTCACAGGATGAGTATGGCACGCTCACAGGATGAGTACGGCGCGCTCACAGGATTAGTATGGCACACGCACAGGATGAGTATGGCGCGCTCACAGGATGAGTATGGCACGCTCACAGGATGAGTACGGCGCACTCACAGGATTAGTATGGCACACTCACAGGATGAGTACAGAGCGCTCACAGGATGAGTATGGCGCGCTCACAGGATGAGTATGGCGCACTCACAGGATGAGTACGGCACGCTCACAGGATGAGTATGGTGCGCTCACAGGATGAGTATGGCGCGCTCACAGAATGAGTATGGCGCGCTCACAGAATGAATATTGCGCGCTCACATGATGAGTATGGCGCGCTCACATGATGAGAATGGCGCGCTCACAGGATGAGTATGGTGCGCTCACAGGATGAGTATGGCGCGCTCACAGAATGAATGTGGCGCGCTCACAAGATGAGTATGGTGCGCTCACAGGATGAGTATGGAGTGCTCACAGGATGAGTAAGGTGCACTCACAGGATGAGTATGGCACACTCACAGGATGAGTATGGCGTGCTCACAGGATGAGTATGGCGCACTCACAGGATGAGTATGGTGCGCTCACAGGATGAGCATGGCGCGCTCACAGGATGAGTATGGCACGCTCACATGATGAGTATGGCGCGCTCACAGGATGAGCAAGGCGCGCTCACAGGATGAGAATGACACACTCACAGGATGAGTATGGCGTGCTCACAGGATGAGAATGTCACTCACAGGATGAGTATGGTGCGCTCACAGGATGAGTATGGCGTGCTCACAGGATGAGTATGGCACGCTCACAGGATGAGTATGGTGCACTCACAGGATGAGTATGGTGCACTCACAGGATGAGTATGGCACGCTCACAGGGTGAGTATGGTGCACTCACAGGATGAGTATGGTTCACTCACAGGATGAGTATGGCACGCTCACAGGATGAGTATGGCGCGCATAGTAAACTAGGCGCCGCTGGCGGCAACAATCAAGAACGCACTGTAACGACATATACCGTAGCCGGACTTACAACAATTTGAGTGCTTCATCTTAATGGTAAGTCCATCATATACAGTATAGACAAGGACAGGAAGATGTGGAGATATATTCACTTGCATACTGGGTTATTATTATGTGTATGCATAAAATGCAGAAGTATACTGGACTTATACTTCAAGGAAAACAAAAGTGGAATTGCTATAAAACATTTATATACAGTACTTAATTTTTTTTTGGCAATTTGTAGTGTTATGAAGAAATGTTCCATGAACCTGAATGCTTTATTATATATATTTAATTATAAGATAAAAAATAAACTTCTTTACTCGTACACTGATAACTCTTGTAATGAATGACAGACTGCATGTGCACTTGAAATTAAACAAATAAATTAGCCTTTTAAAATGTTTTAAAACTGTAGTAGAAAGTCTATTGCAGTAATCCTGACATGCATCAGTAGGTGTTGATGTATGTTAACATGTTACCTTCAGTTAAGAAACAGCAGTACATTACCTACCTGAAGGTACATTAGTACACTACCTACCTGGAGGTACAGTAGTACACTGTCTACCTGAGGGCACAGTAGTATACCTACATGAAGGAACAGTAGTCCTCTACCTACCTGAAGGTACAGTAGCACACTACCAACTTGAAGGTACAGTATTACACAACCTACCTAAAGGTATAGTAGTACACTACTTACCTGAAGGTACAACAGTACATTATCTATCCTAATCTATTTATTTATTTATATCTACAAGGGTTCCTACATTCTTGTACAGTCACTAGTACGCATAGCGTTTCGGGCAAGTCCTTAATCCTAATTTTCACACACACACACACACACACATCCCCAGGAAGCAGCCCGCAGCAGCTGTCTAACTCCCCAGTACCTATTTACTGCTAGATGAACAGGGGGCATCAGGATGAAAGAAACTGCCCAATTGTTTCTGCCTCCACCAGGGATCGAACCCAGAACCTTAGAACTACAAACCCAGAGTGCCGCTGTCCACTCAGTCATCATTAGTGCACTCCCTACCTGAAGGTACGGTAGTACACAACCTACCTGAGGGTACAGTAGTGCACTACCTGTCTGATGGTACAGTAATACACTGCCTTCTTGAAGGTACAGTAGTAAACTTCCTGCCTGAAGATACAGTAATACACTACCTACCTAAAAGTACAGTAGTACACTGCCTACCAAAAAGTACACTCCAAGACTGAAGGTAAAACAGTGCACTACTACCATAATGTACATTAGTACACTACCTGAAAGTATAGTAGTACACTGTCTTCCTGAAGGTACACTAGTACACTGTCTTCCTGAAGGTACAGTTGTACACTACCTACCTGAAGGAACAATTCTGCACAACCTACTAGAAAGTACAGTAGCACACTACCTATTGCAAGGTACAGTAGCACAATACATATTGCTAGGTGCAATAGCACACTACCTATTGCAAGGTACAACAGCACACTATCTTTCTCAAATAGTGTACTAAGTACATTGACACACTATTTATTCCATTCACTACCCTACACACTATTTTACCTCATGGTACTGTATAGCACACTCCTTACCCTTAAATTTCAGACCATTTATGGGGGATGAAGCTGCCAAGGCTGGGATTCTCCAATCTAAATATATATACTGTACTGTAAAGTACATACATTTTTCCATCATAGGATATGTAGGAACATTTGTTTACTGTTAACGCCTTGGATAAAAAATAGAGGTAAAAATTAAATCTGAATAAAATATGAAATTATATAGTTACTGGGTTACTGGCATAATCATGTGAATTATATAACATGGATGTTCAAAGATTGTTCGATTTCTCAGATTCAATGTGGAGGCTGCATCTTGAGGGTGGTACACTACCTTCATCTCTTACTTATGGGGACGGAGCTTAACACGTGGTGTCATGCCCTTCATCATGTGATTCACTTATGACCCTTCCTTGGCGGTGTGGCTCATATAAGCTGGCACACAGGCCTTTCCGTATGTATGTATGTATGTATGTATGTATGTATGTATGTATGTATGTACAGTATATAACTTAAGAGCTCTATGACCAGACCAGGGATTGAACCTGCATTACCAAGACTCAACCCCTGGCATACACAGTACCATAACTACTTCACCAGCGATAGCCTATAAGGATTACTTAGGCCTGGAGCTTATTAACTAAGCTCAATGACTAATCAATCCCCGGCAACTCTCGAGGTGCAATTTGGGCACAGTTTTTCATCAAATCCTGGTGTATGCTTGGGCCATGCTGAGCCTTTAAATGTGACAGAAAGCTTGAATGGTCCCCAAGGCATAAATCACTTAAGAACTCTAAGACTCACCAGGATTCAAACCTGCATTACAAGGGATCACCCCCCTGGCATACACAATACCATAACCACTACACTAGTGATTGCATATGATGATTGGTTTGCATCAGGATTTGATGAAAAATGATAGTTGCTGGGGATATTACACAATGTACACAGATGGTATTGTTTAATGCCATAAAGTTGGCATAATAATTACACTCTTCATAAATTTATGATACTACAATAAAGCTATGGTAACTTTAACTACAGGTACTCTATGTAATTTTTGTATAAATAACACATATTTATATGTATTTACTATATTTACACATTATTGCCAGCTAATATTTCTTAACCTTGCCTCCCAGTACCAGCAGGTTGTATCCTCTCTTAAGTGTAATTATTTTAACTCTATTGTTTATACACAACAGCAACAAATTCTCTACATATCATGGAAGAACATCTACCCAGTTTTGCCAGGACATGGAATCAAACTCTGATTTTTATTATTGTCATTTTTGTATGTGTCCCTAGAACTTATAGTTAATGACTGTGTTTTTGACAATGAGGCTCACCACACTATTAAGTGTTTTACAAACAAGCAATTAACATTAAGGTATTTCATCTTAGTTATCTTGCAAATTCCCAGTGATTATTTTTTATTTCTTTAACCCCTGCACTGCGAACATGTTAAATAATTCTAAAGATAATTCATTGTATCGGGGAACAGGCAGCCAGAGTGTGTATTCATACATGAATACACTCTGGATACATGAATGTGCTGGGAAGACGGGACACCACGAGCGTAGCTTCCATCCTGTAATTATACTTAGGTAATTATACCCCCCCCCCCCAAAGGTCACATTACTGACCCCGCCCAGGATGCAACCCCCACAACAAGCTGACTAACTTTTGAGTACCTACTTACTGCTAGGGGAACAGACACATTAGGTGATATTAAATGTGCCCAACCATTTCTGTCCCGCCCGGGATTTGAACCCGGAATTGCTTGATAGTAAGTTGAGAACAAACCCAACTGTACCATCTGAACCCTGATACGTGGCACTCCTGGGATGAGCACAGAAAAACTTGTTCCGAATTTTTTTTCCATCTTATATTCATAATTAGTAACCAGGAAGCACAAAAATCTAAGTAAAAAGTCTCTATATCTTGTGGTCTAGCTGTAGTTGTCCAGAGAATTTGTATTTTTTTGGTTGAAATGAAGTGAGGTGCAACAAGGGAATAACTTGGTCAATTTATTTTAATTGTTTCTCACTTTATTGATTTACTCTTTCATTCTAACAAGTTGTATTGATGTGTCAATGGTAGGGTTTATTATGTATAACTTTGAAAAGATATGTATGTACAGATATGTGTATAAATATATGCACACCATGTATTTATTCATACTAATATACAATATACTATATATATATAAAGCCTAAATCTTATAATTGCACACAGCACACATTTTGTCTGTAAATATATACATGGTAGTAACTCATTTGCTGTTCTTAAAAGTTCAATGGCTTTTAGTATGGCCAAACTGCATGTTCAGACACTAGATGGTGATGTGCCAGACATGGTCCTCATTTCCCCACTAAGGCCCTAGAAGGAAAGTGGGGGACTCTGGATTATTTTTCAAGATGGGTGGTGGTTACTAGAGGCATAAGAAAGCAAATGTGATCCCTATGTATGCATGGGAATTTTAAATTTTATGATAGGCCTAAAACAACCCTAGTTGTGGTGTGCATCGTCAGTGAAACGACCCTAGTTGTGGTGAGCAGTGTAGGGGTTAATGTCCGTCTGATGTCGTCCACTGATGATGGTTAACGTTAATTAAAGAGACCAAAAAAGCCAACTTGGTGTTTTTTTAATTGTGTACAGTTTAAAAGGCTGATATGATATCTGTTATTTTATGCAATTTATATAAATGCTGAATATTTCCATAGACTGTGTAAGTTCCAATGGGAAAGATCACAACCTAAATAATTTGTCTTAAGAACTATAGGTTTTGTAGATATTAAAACATAACAGGTCAAGAACCTCAATTCAGGGTTTTGGTAGTATAGATTTGTTCATTCTCCACTCACAATTGGAAATCCTGGGTTCAAATCCCATTCGGGACAGAAATTCTTAGGCACATTTTATAAAAAAAAAAAAAAGTTTATAAAAAACTTAACCCCATGTCCATCCAAAAATCACAGTATTTTTTGCTAGAGGCCCAAATCAATGGGCTTCTGACAAAATAAAAATGGCTCCAAGAGCCATTTTTAAAAAATAAGTTTTCAACCAAAGCACCTAAAATCATGTACAAAGACACTTCTTTGGGGTAAGTCAATCATGAAGATTCTGGATCTCACATTAGTTTGTTGTTACAACATGTTTTGACTCAGAAATCGAAGATGGTCACCATCTACAATAGCAAAAATTAAATTTTTGTACTTAAAGCAACTACCTCTATAAGGATCTCTTGCATTAAACTGATGAATAATATATATAGCTGATGAACAAACTTATTACACTTCAAAATAAGTTCATTTTAATAGGTGTAACTTGAATGTATTTTTTTTTAATAAAACTATTTCAAACATGCCAATACAAAATTATTTTACCCTGAAAATTGTAATTTTTGCCAATTTTCTGTAGATAAGTTATACCACAATACAAATAAAACACATTTATAAGTCACCAATCATGCTTTCATGTCATATTTCACACTGTTATGACATATCAACTAATGTATCAATATGACCTTGAGAGATATGATCAGTCTGAATCAGAGCATTCTGCCTCACTAAATTCTGAATCATCAGATTCCAATGAATCTCCCTCCTCCTTTATACACCATCATCTCCCTCCTCCTTCCTCTTCCCCCACCTTGCTATTATCTTCCCTGCTCTCTTCAGCTGGCTCTAGTGCAGGCAAATGCATCAAGAGAGCAGATCGTATGGTGCGTTTTGGGGTGACAACAGAGCAGTACTCCCTCCTGTTGATGAGTTGTTAATAAGGTCATCACTGTCAATGATACTGATGCTTGGTTCTAACTTAGTGATATCGTCGGGACAGTTGAGATCGAACACCACTCAAAATCATGTAGCAGCCAGCCATCTTGGATTTCTGGTTGAAAACTGTAATATCAAACTAATGTTGGATTTGAAATCCTCATGGTTGACTTACAGAAAAAAAGTGTCTTTGCACACGATTCTAGGTGCTCTGGTTCAAAACTTAATTTTTCAAGATGGCTCCAGCAACAATCTTTGATTTGGGCCTTTGGCAAAAAATGCTGTAATTTTTGGGAGGGCCATGGGGGGCTAAATTTTGTAAAACAGTCAATAGAAGTCAAATCATTCATCAAACCTTACTTATGTGAGAATTGTCACAGAATTAAGGTTCTTGACAAAACTATAAAGTTTCCTAGACAATCTTAATTTAGAAAATGTACTATAAAATATAGTATCTTCACTATTGTTGCAAAAGCAATTATACACTTACTTAGTTCTAGCACCATGAATATCATCATGCACACTTCGACATACAAAGAGACAAGACATACAAACACTGTACACCAATATTGTTATATTTCATGCATCTGAAATTATAACATTCCAAATATGTTCAGTATCATTAAATCACCAAAATTAATACCCTTTTTGTTTGCAGGATTGTCCAATTCTGGCTACTTTTTTGCAGATCATGAAGAAAATAATTTTTGCTACATTGCATTCCTGACAATGTGAAGTCCATGAAAAAATCAACTGGAGCTCTGAGGTGACTGAAACCAGGTTCAAGTCACCTCAGAGCTCCATTGGATTTTCTCATTGATATATATATATACTATATCACGTTATGGTAGTGTAATTTCTCTGTGTACGAAACTCATTCTTGAACATATTTTATTCTTATTACATAATGTTTCATCATCTATAATATTTAACATTCTAAAATTAGTCTCTGAATCACAAAATATTTGGAACACATTATAAATTAACATAATCATTGTTCATTATGATAAGTTGGAAAACAAATGTTTACATCTTTTCACTGTACCCCACAATTCCAGGTATATGAAATAGGCCAACACAAGCTTTAACACTACCAGGATTTGCTTATTCAAAGTCCTCTGTCTTGCCTATTCTCTGGGTAAGTCTGTGGCCCGTAGAGAGCTCAGGAGATGGCAAGGGCCAGATGCTGATGGGTTGGTATGTTCTATATTTCAGACCATCACGCACATATTTATTTCTGAAGAAACGTAATCCTGTCAAGAGTTCCACATCCCTTACTGTGGTCAAGTGATACTGTAGGTACTCCATATCGCTCTGTAAGGCGCAATGTAATCACAGAATAAATCACTGAACATAACATTGAGGAATAAGCTTATAGTAATTGTTAATAATCATTAATTACCAAATATAAAATCCTATTATTTCAGTATACAGTACTCATAAAATATAAAATACTGTATGTATTACAAGTAAATATATTAGTTTCTGATAATGATAACATGAGCATTTAAATCAAGTATAAATATGACATCCCCCCAGTGCACAGATAAAAACCCCTCCCTGTATATGGGTATAGCAACGCAAGTGAAATTGTACTTACTTTGGCTGCTAGTGACGTCATAATTCCCCGTTCGCCAGAGCAGTATGCACCCGGGGCCGGTGGGGCGCCCGGGGCGAGGCGCGCGAGTTGCCGCGAATATATTTTTGCACATTTTTTGCGCACAGTTCCAAATACATTTTATTTGTCTTTACATGCTAATCCTATGTATAATGAACACGTACACTATATTATGGCAGTAAAACATCCGTACTGTCCGAAGACACTGTATGACACTTGTGTACACATATGTTGCACATATTTACCATGCTAATTTATGTATATATACGTACTATACTGTAAGAACACCACGAGTGTGAGCAGCCACACCCAGCAAGCCCTGCCAACATTGCTCCTCCAAATCATACAGTTATTCACACCAATGTTTCAAGTTCATTTATGTATATTTACACATATGAACACACTACACTGTCACACACTGTATACATTCACCATCAACACACTCAGAACACCGAGGAATCCCTCACTCCAACATCTTACTCGCCAACATTGCTCCTCCCACCATACTGTAATTGTTATATAATATCTACATGTTTTATTTACCAAACTATAAGTAAGCCGGTATTGTGTCCAAGCAGTATAGTACCATACACTGCATCAAATCACACAGCAGACAGCAGACGACGCCACGATACGACGTACAAAATAGTACAACATACTCCTGGTGCTGTTATACACTATTCCATGTATATACCCATGTACATGTGTGTTCCCCATAGCGAACCACGAAGCTAGTATGGTTAGCAAAACAAGAGTTACACACAGTGAGGCTAAATACCAAAATTTCTCCTTTCTATAGCTTTATAACCACAATCTGGTCACTAATACCTGTAAAAGATACCACATTTATTTTGAAAATTCCTAGATGGACGAAATAATGCTGTGGCTAACGCTGTGATCAGCATATCACATATTTGAACATTGTACCCAGTCATTATCACACTATAATACTATCATGGCTAAATAAAACAGATTATATATATATTTTGACAATATTAAGCAATGCTGTGGTCACACACTGAACAGCAGTGCTGTGCGCTCATGCTGCGAGCGCCAGCCTTGGTTGCTCACTCACTACTGAGGCTCTGACACCCGGCAATGTGGACATGATTTTTTTTTTAAGATGGCGTCTGTTTACAAGACCCCTGAGGAAGCTGATGTGAACCCCATGTAGCCGCGGGAGTTTTGAATGGAACGTGAAAAATAAAAACACCTGGGGGCGCGTTGCGCACCCTAAGCCTGGGCCTGTAGGCGCGTTGCGCAGTTAAAGGGTTAAATCAAATGATATCAGATTAAAAGCCAATTTTGTTCAAGTTAAATGAATGGAATCTGCAAGTGTATGTAAAAATCTTTGGTAAAAAGTTTAAATCTTTCAACTGAATTTATGTCCTTTTCATAGTACAGAGACCCAAAACTGAACTGCACAATGCAAATAGGGCCCAACAAAGGCAAGATAAAGCTGAAGGATAATATTGGATCTCTTATTACTAACACTTCCAGAAATAAATCCTACTATTATACCTACTCTACTATGTATATTTAGGCATACAGGATATGTCACAATCTAGAGGCATGTTTACGGAAGAAAGACTGAAAATTGTTTCCTCTTGACTACCAACCCAATGAATGGAACAAGGAGTCAAAGATATGTACATACTGTACTCTAATGTGATTTTTATCCTTATCACTTAATACAACATAAAGATGCATAAGAGGAAGCTTCCTGACATTTTTTTAATATAACCCAAGTAAAACTACTGTATGTATATTCAAATATTTAACATTTTCATACTTGGTTAGCTTATTTATTTATTTTATTTTATTTATTTATTTTATTTATGCATATACAAGAATGTACATAAGGAATGTGAGGATACAAATATGGTAATTACATATTACTTATTACTTATCACCGCTTGCCATCACTTGATGAAATGTTGGAGGAGGATTATACATCATTATTCATTTCATTTTATGAGAATTAAAAATGAGAATTCATTTTAAACAAAGAAAATACAGCAGTAACATAACATTACATCAATAAATGTATAGATATTTAAATAAACATTCAATTTTATAAATAGTTGAAAGCAATTTAAATATATAGACCGTGAAAAACTGAAAACAAATTTGGTAAAATCTCACCATAAGGCAGTTATCATGAACGTCTGTGTTTGGGAAGACAAAAGCCAAGACATCGAGTGGATCACTTGAACACGAGCCTGTAGATGTGTTGCTGCACAGAGTGACAACAAAGTAGTAGTCACTGGGAACTAGAGGCTTGATGGTGTTTCTGCATGATGATACTACAGTATTAGTACTGAATATAATTATGTACACTAACTACTGGATTCTCATATATTAGTTTCTTCATGAACCTTTACACTGCCATCTTACTATTGGTATAGTAATACTGGCTAAGCACATCACCTTGATAATTACTTACACTGCCATGAATAATAATGATCATTGGAATTATTCCCCCCTAATCCCCATCTCTACTATATCACTGTTTATTGTTTGTGTTTGTACATGGGCTCAACCGCCATAACTTACATCAAATGAACCATCCCCAAACAAAAAACAGGCATTAGAATCATTACAACTTCTATTTTCAAACAATAAACAGCAGCATCCTTCTAATCACTAAACATGCTAAAACAAAATAATAATTCTTTATACATTTCCTTGTGCTCATTATAATGTATTTACAAAACGCTATACTGTAATTCTGTATCACTATTAATTCACACCTGAAGTTCTTCCTAGAATTATGTAATAGAACCGATAAGCATCACACGAGAAATAATTACTGTATCTCCTTGATATTTTTCAGTGTACTCACCTAGTTGTGCGTGCATAGGTTGAGCTTTGGCTCTTTGGTCCTGCCTCTCAACTGTCAATCAACTGGTGTACAGATTCTGGAGCCTATTGAGCTTCATCAAATCTATATTTGAAACTATGTATGGAGTCTACCTCCACCACATCACTGCCTAATGCATTCCATTTAACTACTTTAACACTAAACAAATTCTTTCTAATGTCTCTGTGGCTCATTTGGGTACTAAGTTTCCACCTGTGTCCCCTTGTTCGTGTTCTACCCATGCTAAATAGTTTATCTTTGTCCACCCTGTCAATTTCCCCTGAGAATTTTGTAGATGGTTATCATGTCTCCCTTTACTCTTCTATCTCCCAGGGATGTGAGGTTTAGCTCCCGTAACATTTCCTCGTAGCTCATACTTCTCAGTTCTGGGACTAGTCTGGTGGCATGCTAGGTCAATCCATGCAAAACATGCCATGCTGCAACTCATCCATATTCTTTAACTGATAATATATATAAGCTTAATATACTGAACTTTAATATTTCTTTCTAATACCCTGTGGACACAGTATGCAAGAGCAATTCCATTTTAACACCGAATCAATGTCAGACTCTATATTGAGCCAACACTACTCTAGAATACTGACCTATATTTTTTAATGTCATACCTAAATCAAACCTTCAACATTGTAAAATGTTGAATAAATGTACTTTTTACCAATCTCAACAGAAGAGGCCATTTTGCAACTCCACTCATTTTCACACCCTTAAAATTTGAATTAACACTAACTTCATTTCCTCATGTAACTCAAAGTGCTCTTTAATGCTCATTCACTTTAACTCTTAAACAGCTCAGATAATTTAAAGTTCTGCATTGTGATGTGTGTGAAAAAAAATAGTTCACAACAAAACAAATAAAAAAATCACATATGGTAATTTGAGCACAGAAGGTAAATGCAGATAGTCATTAGAGTCATTTAAGGGTTAAGAAGATATATAAAGTAAAATAAATGGTTTATACTTGTATGAGAGAACTTACAGCACAGTTGACACTTGATCTTGGTGACCATCTAAATCGTAGTCAAAAACAGGACCATGAACAACATTAAGAACACCCTTTGTGGTAGTCCAGATTCTTAAGGCATTAACCATCATTGTATGAGCGCCCTTTCTGTAGCCACTTTTCACTGGTGCTATATTGGATACAAGGTGACCTTCAGACATCAAAAGTTCATCAGTTTCCATATCTGAAAAGGAAAAAGATGATGTATTGTATCTATCATCACTTAATGCTTTATGTGACCTGGCAAAAACAAGTTCAGAATACTGTATTTGGTTCCCATTGTCAGGGATAGGAAGCCTATTAGGCTACTTGAGATCCCACTAGACCAACAACTGACCTTTCCGATGGGGCAAGACACAACATATGTTTAATTACCAGTACAGAGTGCCAAATATGACAAATGTACAATATAAGAGTGACAGTTTGAAAAAAGCCTTAACTTCTTAAGTGACTCAATCCACATATTCTCTTACACTATTTATGCTTACAAAGATTTACTTGATACTGATTGATGAAGATTAAGACACCCAAGAGATGGCACGGGCATGAATAGTCCATAAGTGGTATACTTGATACTGTACTACTGTTGTTTTGAAACTCTTCTTAGATGAATGTAATAGAACCAATGAACATTACACCAGAAATAATCTCTCTTTGCTATTCCCAGAGTCAAGCTAAATCTATGTAAACACATCATGCAAATAAAAGGATCCATTATATGGAACTCTCTTCTTAATGAAGCAAAAACTTGCTCACCCTATACTGTATTTAGAAGTAAAATAATGAAGTACATATGTTTTTCACCATAGTATCTCACTTTGAGCTACTAACTCACTTTATTTATACTTTACTATCTAGAAATATAACTCCATCAATATAATTTATCATTATAACCACCTTACACTACTATTATTAATACAGTAATTATGCTAACTAAAATTTTATCATTATATACTGTACTAGTTTTATCTCTTGTTCAAGCTTAACTGTTCACCTTGTAACTTAAAATTCACAGCAAATTCTGACTTGGCTTTCATACTTGCCTAAAATCCTAGGGGTTTTATTGATTTTGAAAGAATATACCATTTAATTGCCAAACTCTGTATTCTGACAACCTATTGTCCTTTCTTGTATACTGAATTGATAAATAAATAATTAATTAATTATTTGTTCTTAGTTAATCCCCTTGTCACTAAACCTAGGGCTTTTTATTACCCTGTTAATTAACCATTACTAAGCTAATTATCTTCAAGATCATTTTTTTTATGATTATTATTTTTCTTATTATTTTTTATTTTACATTTATATTGTCAGTCTCTACTGATTTTTTGTGTTTTATTTTATGTAACTTCTGTGTCCTCCCTGGCTATCTATTGGATCTTTATTTTACTTCTAAATTGTTACTATTTTATTGTATCTGCTCTTATTCTTGTGTTTTGCTTTATCGTGTATCTTGTATCGTGATCCCTCTGCATCTCTATGCACACTGATATTGATCCTGATCAAAATCTTCTGTCTCATATCTATACCAACCAGCACATTGATCATCATTATTGTAAGTATTTCACAGCACACCAGGCTAAAAACAAACTCCAAAATAGCACCTATCTATCAGTTTATAACCAAAATGTTAGATCACTTGGTAAACATTTTGACGATTTAAATGCACTACTCACAGCACTAGGTACTAACCTATCGTTCATTATTTTAACAGAAACTTGGCTAAATAAAGACTATACCCAACTCTACAACTTAGCTGGTTATAAAGCCATTCATAACTGTAGGCCTAATAAAAAAGGTGGTGGCACAGCTATATATTACCGAGATACATTTATCTGCAACAGTGTTATTAGTGACAGAGATGACTACTGTGAATATACTTTTGCTCAGTTTACAATTAAATCCCTTAAATCCTCTTTGACTATTGGAGCCATCTATAGATTTCCTAATACTAACATAGCTTCTTTCTCAGACAACCTAAGGAATCTTATTATAAACAACAATCTCAACAAAAACCACATTATTCTGGGAGGAGACTTTAATATTGACCTGGGTCAACAAAATTGCTCTCAAGTTGACTATTTCCTTAACAGCATGAACTCCTGTATGCTAATCCCCACTATCACCAAACCTACCCGAGTCACTCAAACATCAGCCACTACCTTGGACCACATATGGACAAACATAACAGCTCCCCTTGTATCTGGTATAATCTACGACAGAACAACTGACCACTATCCTACCTTTCTCATAGCGAACATGGACATAACACCACCAAAAAGCAAGAAACTTTCATTTAGGCTACACAGTGAATCAGCTTTAGACAATCTTACAGAGGCACTTCACAATATTAACTGGGATTCTGAATTCAATAATACCCATGATATAAATTCATTAGCTAACCTCTTCCTCTCCAAAACTCTAAGCCTCTACAACCTTCATTGTCCCCTTCTTACAAAGCAAGTAACTGACAAAAGATTAAACAATCCATGGCTCACAAGTGGCATTCTCAACTCAATCAACAAGAAACATGAATATGAAAAGAAAGTTAGGATTGGCCTAGTTTCAAAGGAAGTAGCTAAAAGGTACTCATCAATGCTTACCAGTATCATAAGAAAGGCAAAACTTGCATATTATGTGAATAGATTCAATGAAGCAAAAGGCAACATGAAAAACACTTGGAAAACTATCTCTAGTATCCTAGGAACTAAACAACACTCACATAACCAAATAAAACTCTACAAGGATGGGGATATACCGTCAACTGATTTAGAAATGGCAAATGAATTTAATAGTTTCTTTTCATCGGTTGGTGCTAATCTTGCCAGTAAAATCCCACAGACTCAGACACATATTAACACATATCTCTCAGGCAGCTATCCAAACTCTCTTCTCCTTTCACCAATCAGCCCGGCAGATGTTGTGTCCATCATACACTCTCTAAAAACCAAGGCAGGGAACACGAGTGAAATTCCATCCATTGTGTACAAGAGAGCCTCCCATGCCCTTGCCCCACCATAGCACTACTGTTCAACAAATCTATAGAGTGTCACACCTTCCCTGATATCCTAAAAAAAGCAAGAGTAACGCCAGTCCATAAAGGAGGCAATTCGGCGGACATAAACAATTATAGACCAATATCAAATCTATCCATTCTATCAAAAATATCTGAAAAAATTATTTACAAACAGCTCTATTCCTACCTCGTAAAATTTGACATACTCAGCCCCTGCCAGTTTGGCTTCCGGTCCCAAAAGAGTACCAATGATGCAATCATTAGTCTCTTTGGCGTTATCTACTCAGCCCTTGACAAAAATGAGTTTCCGATTGGACTCTTCATTGACCTAAGAAAAGCCTTTGATACTGTTAATCACAACTACCTCTTACTTAAACTCCAGCATTATGGAATCCGAGGCCTTGCCCTTGACTACATCCGATCCTATCTTTGTGACAGACACCAATATGTAACCATCAAAGATACAGCTTCTTCCACTCTACAAATTACCGTTGGAGTACCACAGTATCTTAGAACCTCTTCTATTTCTTATATATATAAACGATCTGCCTAATGTCTCTAATATTCTCAAACCTATATTGTTTGCTGACGATACTACCCTTATCTACTCAAACCTCAACCCACATACACTAAATAATGTTGTGAATAATGAATTAAAAAAAGTCCACTTATGGATGTCAACGAACAAACTAACATTAAACATCGAAAAGACTTACTACATCTTATTTGGAAGCAAATCATCAAATGCAATTCAGCTACAGATAGACAACATTAACATCAGTAATAAAAATGATGGCAAGTTTCTTGGCCTATTCCTAGACAAGAGACTCAACTTCAGCACCCACATTCAACACATAACTAAGAAAGTCTCTAAGACAGTTGGTATACTCTCCAAAATCAGATATTATGTTCCTAACTCTGCTCTCCTCTCACTATATTATGCACTAATCTACCCCTATCTTAATTATGGTATCTGTGCATGGGGGTCTACCACTGCAAACCACCTTAAGCCCATCATCACACAGCAAAAATCTGCTATCAGAATAATAACTAACTCTGCTTTCAGACAACACTCAGCTCCCTTGTTTAAATCTCTAAACTTGCTAAATATTAACTCCCTCCACACATTCTCTTGTGTCAACTACATTTACAAAACCCTGTTCTTAAATGCAAACCATGCTCTGAAACTCTCCCTGGACAGATGTAATAGGACCCATTATCACCACACCAGAAATAAATATCTCTTTGATATCCCCAGGGTCAAACTTAATCTGTGTAAACACTCTATGCAAATTAAGGGACCTAGTCTATGGAACTCACTCCCTAGTGAATTGAAAAACTGTAAAACTTTTGCCTTATTTAAAAGCAAAACCAAAAAGTACCTAACTTCATCTATTTAGTTTCCTACACTGAGCTTTAAATTTGCTCTGTACCTAGTGGTACCCAATCTCCTAATTTTTATGTAATATCAAACAACCTTATCATTGTGTTCATTGCTGTCTTCTTTTATGTGCTAGCCATATGCTGTATTGTGACTACCAATTTTTGTCAACAACCATTCAAGCAGTCATTGCAATCAATCTTATATTGTTTCTGCTGTATTGTGCCTACCAATTTGTTGTCAACTACCATTTTAAGCTGTCATTGCAATCAATCATAGCTACCTATGTGCTTTAATATACTGTACCTATAATTTTCTCTCATCTTTTTTTTTTTTTTTTTCATTCCATGTAATCTGTTATCATTTTTTTTGTCTATAAATTTTGCAAGTATTTACCTCCTTAAAATTTTCTTAGATTAAGGACCTGCCCGAAACGCTGCGCGTGCTAGTGGCTTTACAAGACTGTAATTACCATAATTGTATCCTCACATTCCTTATGTACATTCTTGTATATGCATAAATAAATAAATAAATAAATAAATAAATAAATAAATAAATAAATAAATAAATAAATAAATAAATAAATACAGTTCCTGTATTGCATAGAATTTTAAGAAAAATACAGTCCTCACTTAAGATCATGAAATATTTCATAACTAACCTTCAGGAAACAACTGGATGAGAGTAATATTATGAGCATGGTATGCTTCTCTAGCCAGCATCTTGTGACACTGGTCTTCTGGTATTCGATCTAACCTCAGATCTGCCTCCCAGCAAGGAGGCGGTTTCTCATCCGTGACTCGAACATCCTGTTAAGACAACACAACATTAACATTAGAGCAACAAGTATACAATACTGTTTATAGTAATATATATATTAGTGTGTAATATAATAAAATATAGCCAAACAGACTTACACTATAATTTAATATTGAACTCACTTCTGGCTTGATTTCTATCCCTGCTGGTATGGATGGTTTCTCCTTCTCCGTTAGAGCAATAGTTTGATTGTTCAGAGTGAAGCTCACCCATACTCCCAGATTCAGTGTTTCATGCAGACCTAGTGAAACATAGGCAGTGTGCTCATTAAGTTAAAAAGTAAATTGCAATAATCTGAGTAGGTTTCAAATTATAAAGCATGTCAAAGATTTAGAGGATAATTATAAAGTTACTGATTTACTGTGTGCTTAAAAATATAGTATGATAGCTGGACCATTATGAAAACAAAATCAGCAGTTACTGAAAAAAAAAATCCAAACGAATTGGAATAATTAAAACATCCTCATCCAAAGTGAATGACAACACTAACCCTCATCACTTGTAAAGTTTTACTGAAAATATTCTGTAATTACCATCAGCTTGAAAAGTAATACTGCATTTTTGTAGAAGGAGCATCCATACATTCCTAAAATTGTGTGTAATTCTTTACAAAGCAATCAAGATGTACACAATCTGAGTAAGGACATGAAGAAAGATAGGCCAGTCTTTAGCTCGTACAATTACGACAAAACTGGACACCGCCTAAATTATTAGCTTAAAACTGGCACAGACAGTGAGACTGGCAGATAACAAGTGTGGTCACAGTGAGACTGGCAGACAAGTGTGGCCACAGTGAGACTGGCAGACAAGTGTGGCCACAGTGAGACTGGCAGACAAGTGTGGCCACAGTGAGACTGGCAGATAACAAGTGTGGTCACAGTGAGACTGGCAGACAAGTGTGGCCACAGTGAGACTGGCAGACAAGTGTGGCCACAGTGAGGCTGGCAGATAACAAGTGTGGCCACAGTGAGGCTGGCAGATAACAAGTGTGGCCACAGTGAGACTAGCAGATAACAAGTGTGGCCACAGTGAGACTAGCAGATAACAAGTGTGGCCACAGTGAGACTAGCAGATAACAAGTGTGGCCACAGTGAGACTAGCAGATAACAAGTGTGGCCACAGTGAGACTGGCAGACAACAAGTGTGGCCACAGTGAGACTGGCAAACAAGTGCAGCCAGAGTTAGAATATAATTTCTTGCTGTATGAGCATAGTGGTATAAATGTAGTAAGGGAGACTTCTGCAATGTCTTTATTGTCCTGTATTCCTTTGTAGTGAAAGTGATAAAATATATGTGGGAGACTTTTAGAGATTTGGAAAACATTAAATGAGCAGAAATTTGATTGTAGAACATGGAATACAAAAAATGCACTAGCTAATCATAAAATTAATATCGGGCATTCTGCTCAATATGGGGAACTAAGTTTTTGACACATGAAAAGAACTTATTTTACTAACCAATGACATAGCTGGACTGCAGAAGAATCTTAAGCTCTCCGTCAATAGCATCAGGTGCGGAGAATCCAGGTGAACCCCAAGGTACGTGGATATTGAGTAGGTGCGCAAGCTCAGCTTGGGTCTTGTTTTTTTTACTGCTGTTTGGATTACTGGTTGTGGTGCTACTGGTGGGTGTGGATTCAGTACTGGTGTCATTACTAGTGCTGTTGCTGCTACTAGGATTGCTACTGTTGCTTGGTATACTTTCTGTAGGCTACATAAGGAATAGATAAGCACTGGGATGTTAAATATTCCTCAGACATTTTAACTAAAAACCATTTTAATCTTTAGATATTAAAGAAAGAAAAGCAATTCAGTATAATACAGTATTTAAAAATTTTTGTTCCAAAGGGGGTAAGATACAAGGGGTTTTCTGAGCTATCTCAATTGGCTGCTCCCCAAAGTAAGGTCTGCTATGTACATATGACAGGATCATGCAGTCACACAGAACAACATTCTGGCAATGGTGCACATCTTGTTGGGCTCCTGGTGTACCATTAGAACATGGTAAGGCATCTAGTTCATGCCACACCATAGGTCACTGCAAGATATTCCTTTGTTTTGAACATCAGATTTGATTTTTCATTCTTTGACAAAAGGGTCTTTGAAATTCTGTTGTTAGGCTTAAATTTGTTTAATTGCTCAGAGCTGTAAGAAAGTCTGATGCTCATAATATCTGGGATTACTAGGTATCACCTAAGTCTTTGAGTCAGTCCTCTGAGTATGGCATGGGGCCTGGCAGGTGCCTTCCTGGGTGTAGCTAAGGGATGCCAATCATATGTCTTACTGTAATTTACCTACCTCAAGGCAATTTTGTTTTCTGCCAGCAGGTGATGATTAACTGCCAGGCTTATACTTTTTCCTGTCATGGGAGTGCCAGGGAGCAAATGGCTGTGTCATCTTGACTCCTAAATCACTAACAAAAATACCATCAAATTGACTCACTCACTGCATTTGCAGTGAGAATTCTGAAGCATACTCCTTACCCCACATCTCATTTTTAGATTGGTTTTCACTAGTGCATGATTCTGTCCTACAAGCATGGTGAAGTTTACTGCAAAGAGTGGCTAAATTAATTACTTACTATAATTGTTTCAGTTTTCTCAATAAAACAACTGCATTGCTTCACATTGGTCCCATTGTCTCCTGCCTCTGGTTCTTCATTCTTTTGTGATTGTTTCTCAGGAAGGCCTTTAGATACTTCCGGAAGCAGGTTCGCTAACATGTCTGGAGGTGCCACCTGTGGAACGTGACGCAGAAAATGGTCCAGACTCCCTGTAGTGCCTGAAAGAGGAGTAGATTTTTTACCCTGATTAAATAATAATAATAATAATAATAATAGTAATAATAATAATAATAATAATAATAATAATAACAATAATAATAATAATACTGTAATAATAATAATAATAATAATAATATTTTATTTACAAGAAGGTACAATGTGTTGGTGAGATTACATTAGAGTGATATTTTTATATTCTTGCAAAGTTCTTAATACGCATAGCATTTCAGGTAGGTCCTTAATCTAACATATCAGGCAAGATAAAAAAAATAGAACATTGTAGCAAGGTTTTATATCAACAATATAAATTGACAGTGGTGACTAAACTGGTAAAGACTAAGTACTTAATTAGTCTTAAGTACTAATATTGGGGAAGTGGGTAGTACAAGATACAGTGTGAGTTTGAAGCACAAGGTAGGAAACTATGAGGATGAAATTAGGTAATTTTTGGTTTTACTTTTGAACAGGGCATGGTTGGACAATTTTTTAATTCATCACGGAGTGAGTTCCAAAGACATATTATAATTTGTTTTATTAAAATTTGGAAAGACTATACAGTACTGTCTATAGATGTCAAATATTTTAATATAGATTAGTTATGTAATTCTAGGTGTTCATATAGACTCATCTCAGTGTTTTTCAACTCTTTTGGAGTAGGATTGCAAAACACTAATACATTGCCAGTGAATATTGAGAATATGAACACAATACGAACATTTAAGAATATAATTGAAAATCCACCAGTAAGAAAGTTTCATCAGACAATTATAGAAAAAGAAAACAAAAATTCTGCAAGAGAAATAACCGTGAAATGTGCCATTACGTATTCTGTTGCCTGTAAATCATATGTGACTTTTTATAGCTTAAAAATGTAGTGTTAGCTGAAGTTGGTAACTGCAGATATATATATTCCAGCTGTTTTTTTAGCAAACAAATATTCTCACCATTGTTTTTTGCTGGAGTGATGTTCATAAGTTCACACATCAGGTTATACAATTCAACATTCCTGAAGCTCTGACTTGTGTAATTCACTTTCAAACTGGGGCCAAAACCTATGAAAGTAGCCTGCAAAAATATAAATACAGTACTGTGCATCAGTTTTCTCTCATCACCTTAAATTTAGTGATTAACACACACTCTATTATAATTATGTCATATACAACTACAGTACAGTAATTTTCAATTATAAAACCTATTATGACAGATCATATGAAAGAAAAAGAAATTAATCAACTATAATAAAACATTATTCTAACCTGCATAGATGCTTCAAGATTGTTGAAACCATGTTCACCGTTCCTGCAGTAGTTTTGAGTGTTCGTCACCACGCGTGTGTTGGGCATGGTGTCCAGAATCACACTCTCAATTCTGGGATTATTGGTGTAGTGATATCTGTAAGGCATTAAAAATAAGACTTTGTATCATCATGAAAAGCACCTTTCTGAGCAGAGCCATTCAGTGATGCAGAAATATAGCTGGAGTGGCTCTAGAAGTGCGCTAATTAATTCAAAGCAATCACATTTGGCTAGACTTTCTTTCCCTGTTGAGTGCAGAATGATGTAATGAGTGACAGACATGGAGATCACCTTGTGAATATCTACAGAGAGCAGAAAGAATCAAATGGATATTTCATACTGTCATAGGATCAACACAAAAATTACTTCAGACAATCTCCACTGCATTATTTTGTTTGAATACATAGCAGAGTTGTAGAAGGGAGGCAGAACAAGAAACAGGTTGAATAATGTGACAGATTATAGACATAGACACTACAGAAAGGTGAGTGCCTACCTACAAGACATTGAATGGGAGAAGTTGGAGAGGTATGTAGAAAATAAGTATAATGAATATACATTATTGTACGTGTATAGCTATGCTCGTGGTGTCCCATCTTCCCCGCACTCTTTGTCATATAATGCTATGAAAGAACTGACAGTTTTGGTTTCCACCACCTGCTCATCTAACTTATTCCAACCATCTACCACTCTGTTTGCAAAACTGTGGTGTATTTGGTTAGATTTTTTTTTTTTTTTTTTTTTTGAGATATATACAAGAGTTGTTACATTCTTGTACAGCCACTAGTACGCATAGTGTTTCGGGCAAGTCCTTAATCCTATGGTCCCTGGAATACGATCCCCTGCCGCGAAGAATCGTTTTTTCATCCAAGTACACATTTTACTGTTGCGTTAAACAGAGGCTACAGTTAAGGAATTGCCCCCCAGTAAATCCTCCCTGGCCAGGATACGAACCCATGACATAGCGCTCGCGGAACGCCAGGCGAGTGTCTTACCACTACACCACGGAGACTGTCCTCTGAGTCTGACTCTTGGAATATCAAAGAGATATTTATTTTTGGTGTGATGTTCATGGGTTCTAGTACGGCGAAGGTCATGATAGTACAGTCTGGTTCGTTCTTGACTCACAACTGAGAATTTCGGGTTCAAATCCCAGGTGGGACAGAAACGATTGGAGCATTTCCTGTCACCTAATGTGTCTGTTCATCTAGCAATAGGTAGGTACCTAGCAGTCAGTCAGCATGTTGTGGAGTTGTATCTTGTGGCGGTTAGTAATTTGACCTTGGGGTAAAATTACACAATGAATTACATCAGCTAAAGATCTAATAGGATAATATTTAATGCATCTCACTAAAAAAATGAATTAATTTTTTACTTAAAAAAATTATCATCTTTATATTGTTTATCATTACAAAATTTCTTGAATACCTCACATGTGTTAGCTTACTTTCAATTCGGTACAGAATTAAATTTATCTCATTATACCTATAAGAAATATTAACTGAATTATTCTACGTTTTGCCCAAAATATTTTGTGTATTAGTGGCTTTATTTAATATGTAACTACTGTACCTTCATATATACCTCTGCATTTATTTTTATTTTTATTTATATATACAAGAGTTCTTACATTCTTGTACAGCCACTAGTACGCATAGCATTTTGGGCAAGTCCTTAATCCTATGTTCCCTGGAATACGACCCCCACAAAAAATCGTTTTTACAACCAAGTACCCATTTTACTGTTGCGTTAAACAGAGGCTACAGTTAAGGATTTGCGCCCAGTAAATCCTCCCCGGCCAGGATACGAACCCAGGACAAAGCTCTTGCGAAACGCCAGGTGAGCATCTTAACCACTACACCACTAGTCACTACACCACTAGTCACCACGAGCGTAGCTCTTATCCTGTAACTACACTTAGGTAATTACACTTAGGTAATTACCACAGGGACTGTCAAGCACTATCTACTTATGTATAAGTATTACTGTATCTACATTTAATTAGAATTATATAGTAGTAGTATTATCTACTACTTATGTATATTTTATAAATAAAATTGTACATTATTATTATTATTATTATTATTATTATTACTGTATTATAATCCTCACCTCCGTGGGAGCAGCTTCTTTGGCAGGGCTCTGACTTTGGGGTTCTTGCAACTTAGTGTTTCCAAAATCTCTTTCTCGGCAGCTAATCAGCAAACAACCAGGAAGAAAGATTAAAATTTGGTTAAGAAATACATGAACAAAAGTGCAATTGTGTCAAATTAGTTTAGGTTATCTCAGGTCAGGTCAGATCTAGTTTGGTTAGGTATACCATAAACATTATAAAATAATATGAGTACAGTACTTATAAAATCTTTTTGTTTTTACTTTACGTATGTAGTATCATAATTCTTTAATGTTCCACATTTCATTATTCCAAATTCATAGCTTAATCACCCTCTCAGGGGTATGAGTGCCTTGTGAGGCAATATATGATTCTTGTTTTTCCTGGGAACTCTGCACAAGGCTTGAGATTAACCATGTTATTTGTGGTAGCTTGTATGCCCAGTTATATTCAATAGTTTGCACTTTCTGTAGAACAAGTTCTATTTCCCCTCTGCTATGTGTAGCAATTTGTAGATTTTTAAACTTACCATCACCACCACTGACAACTCGCAACCTGCCCACAGCACCAGCATAAACATGTGCTTTTTGCTCAATATCAGAGATGAACGTCTCAAGGTAAAAGGATGAGGTGCAAGATGCTGGAGCGGCACCATGGTCAGATACAAGAAGAATGTTGATGCAATTGGCCAAGCCATGTATATGAAGCTTGCCAAGCATACCATCCAAGATTCGATCTACCATCTCAAGAGCATTAGTTCCCTATAAATTAAAAAAATAACATAAATCATAAGTACAAAAAAACATTTGAGAGCATTAAAGATTATTATACAAATGCTTTAGAGTTCTCATAAAATGAAAGGAAAAGAAGAGTCTCTTCAGTTATGACATGATCTATTATAAGACTTACACTAACTCACTTTAAAAATAAAATTTGTGTTATTGAGTAACAAGGCAGCAAGAAAAATAGTTTTTTCTAAAAAATAGCAAGAAGAGATAATAGTAAATGTATGGGAAGAAAAATGGACAATACCTATCACCAAAAGAAAAAAAAAAACATAAAGCTAAGAAATCACTAATGCCAAATAATAATGACCTATAATGAATGAGCATTATATTAATTGCTCTTATTTAAAAAAAAAGACATTGTGTAAGCAATTAGAGTATGGTAAAGAATATCTTAAACAAGAATATCTTATGAAACTAAAATGAAGTGTTAACCAAAACGTACAATACTGTATAAGGCTAGCATGTGACATGCAGATGGATTCCTCTTCCAAAGCCCTCCTGTAGTGCACAGTGGCCAATCAGTTCACAACCACAAGATCCTAGATTCAAATCCCACAATAGGACAGAGATGTTTGGGCACATTTTTTTTTCACCTGATGGGTCTGTTTACCTAGCAGTAAAATGTATACCTGGGAGTTAGGTAATTGTTGTGGGCTGCATCCTGGGAAAGGTCATTAGTTGGCCAAGTAAATAATTGTGCTCACCAATACACGAATGTACTGACCAATATATTAATGTACTCTTAGTATAATAATATACTCACTAGTACACTAATATACTCACAGCATATTTTATGTTCTACTCACCAGAATACTAATGTACTACTCACCAGTACACTAATACTGTATACTTAACAGTACAGTAATGTACTCACCAGTACACTAATGTACTTAACAGTGTACAGTAATGTACTCACCAGTACAGTACACTAGTGTACTTGCTAGTACACAAGCCATGATGTAGGACAGCAAACTGGCAGTGATATTTCATCCATAGTTTTATAAACCCGTAGAACCACCTACTCGCCAAAACCGTAAATGCCAAGACAATACAATAATACGTACTTCAGTTTAAAATCAAGTTGGAAAAACTCCTATGGAACAATGTGAGGACCTTCAGCAGCCTGTCAGCTTCCTTCCCCCATTGAGGCTACTAGAGCGATGGTGGCCTTAGTGTAAATTCGGGTAAATACTCACAAATACATTAATGTATAATACAGTAGTATAGTACTTACCAATGCACTAATGGTTTAACATTGTCAGGGGCAGAAATCCTGTAGTTATGCTTATTAAGGTTCCATTTGGCAAACTACTGACCTTCAGGATGTAACCCACAACATTTGTCTAGCTCCTAGGTACCTATTTACTACATCAGATGAAGGGAAACATGTTCAACCAACTTTATCCTGCCCAGGATAAAGCCAATAACATAGACCACTGTTCACCAGAGCACTAATGTACTTCCTATTGCAATAATGTAGTCACAATACATAAATAATAAAAAGTTCCCATTTAGCATTAGGAAATACTTTTTTAAAATTCTCTAAAATACATGTTCAGTACTGTAGCACTGCATTTGCATCCAGATAATTAAAATGTAAATAATTTTCTTACTTATAAAATCCTCCTTCATATTAACCAAACACACACACCTCTTGAGAAGTCGGTCCAAATTGCTGAAAAGTCAACATTGGTTGTTCAAAGTACACCATGATGAGATGAGGCCGCTCCTCTTCAGGCATTGTCAGCCAGTCTATCACCTGAGGAAAACATACATCACAGTCAAAATACAAAGATAATGGTATGGTAGGAAGAACTCAAATTTAAAAAAAAATAAATTGTTAGGAGGGGTGGGACTGGAGAAGTTGAAATAAAGCATATATTGCTTCAAAGATTAGTATGGTAAAAATTATACTGTATACTGTATGTCACATATACGCACTTGTTTGACTCGCATGTCAAATGTGTCATTATGCCGATAATTTTGCCAGTAGATGGGATATCTCTGTTGTATTAGAACATCAGAGCCAGCCCAGGAATATGTTGCAGACTTCTTGCCCTGTAAATTAAACATAATAACAAAGGTAAGCCATACAGTTCTATATCTGTAAGCTATATCTGTAGCTATATAAGCACACAGCAAAAATCTGCTATCAGAATAATAACTAACTCTGCTTTCAGACAACACTCAGCTCCCTTGTTTAAATCTCTAAACTTGCTAAATATTAACTCCCTCCACACATTCTCTTGTGTCAACTACATTTACAAAACCCTGTTCTTAAATGCAAACCATGCTCTGAAACTCTCCCTGGACAGATGTAATAGGACCCATTATCACCACACCAGAAATAAATATCTCTTTGATATCCCCAGGGTCAAACTTAATCTGTGTAAACACTCTATGCAAATTAAGGGACCTAGTCTATGGAACTCACTCCTAGTGAATTGAAAAACTGTAAAACTTTTGCCTTATTTAAAAGCAAAACCAAAAAGTACCTAACTTCATCTATTTAGTTTCCTACACTGAGCTTTAAATTTGCTCTGTACCTAGTGGTACCCAATCTCCTAATTTTTATGTAATATCAAACAACCTTATCATTGTGTTCATTGCTGTCTTCTTTTATGTGCTAGCCATATGCTGTATTGTGACTACCAATTTTTGTCAACTACCATTCAAGCTGTCATTGCAATCAATCTTATATTGTTTCTGCTGTATTGTGCCTACCAATTTGTTGTCAACTACCATTTTAAGCTGTCATTGCAATCAATCATAGCTACCTATGTGCTTTAATATACTGTACCTATAATTTTCTCTCATCTTTTTTTTCATTCCATGTAATCTGTTATCATTTTTTTGTCTATAAATTTTGCAAGTATTTACCTCCTTAAAATTTTCTTAGATTAAGGACCTGCCCGAAACGCTGCACGTGCTAGTGGCTTTACAAGACTGTAATTACCATAATTGTATCCTCACATTCCTTATGTACATTCTTGTATATGCATAAATAAATAAATAAATATATACAGAACTAGAATATCCTTTGTCTAATGCACCTAATATGAAGTAAAGTTAAATGATGATACTAGATACTGTACTGTAGTTTGAAATATTTAACATCATTGAATAAATTATAAATAACACTTTAGAATAGAGGATCATATCCTCTTTTAACTAAAAAAAATATCCACTGAAACTAAAAAAAAACTAAAACTACAACAGAATACTGTACTAGAATTAGAGAAAAATTACTCTCCTGGAAAAAGTGTAAATGAAATGACTTTATATAATTAAAATAGGTAAGTGCTGGTAGTTGAGCAAAATACTGTCGATGCTACTGTACAATGATGTTTTCTTACAAGAAAGTAGAGTAATAAGCTCTCATTTTTGTCTGAAGCAGATTGTTGAATAATGAATGAAATGTATGGATGGTTATTATTGTACCTGCTTTGTAACAGTGTTCCATATAGGTTCTCCCTGCCACCAAACTGGACTAGTGCGAGATTTACGCTCATTATACTTGAAGGTCTTGTTGGTCCGTGGGTCAAACATTTCATTTCCAATAATTCCATGACTTTCTGGGTAGAGTCCCTGAAGTGAAGATTTTTTATATTATTACTGTATTGAGATCACCTGTGATATAACTCTGATAATGCTGAACACAATAATTTTGTGTTCAATAATAAGTTCAATAATTATAATAAATAATAATTTAATAACAATAATTTCCATATGTAGTACAGTAATTTAAATAACTTCTTAAACTGAGGTAATTGTACATCCGTTTGTGGTATAATTTGAGGTAATTATACCCCAAAAATTCTTCAATTTAAATATTTACTGTATGATGTATTTTAAAAAATAACTGACCATATGCAGTTTACAGAAGTAAAATTTCTTAAACAAAAATTACATTTAAAAAACTCTTTCTCGCTAGGTAGTCTTTGATGTAGTGAACACATCTAAAATCCAGCAATTTATTAACCACTACACTGCGCAAAGCGCCTTTAGGCGCTCTGAGAGTTGTGAGGTTTGTTTTTTAATTAGACTCTATTTTTAGGTTTTTAATGTTTTCATTACTCTTTGTGTTCTGAAAGGGAAATAGTTGACTTTGGAAACATTTTGACATTAACTTTACCTGAGCATTTATGAAAACAACAAAAATATGTCCTTGACAATTGCACCAAGACGTTTTTGCCGAAAATGGGTGAGCAGTGCAGGGGTTAAAATATTATGAAAATGCAATTGCTATTTGTTTCAGCTGGGCATCATCTTACCGTAGCAATAGAGTACATGTTTGGAAAGGTGACGGTGGGATAAGTAGGGACAAGGCTCTGGGCACTAACTCCGCACCTTCTCAGGTAATTCATGGCCGGGGTTTTTTCATTACTTAGGAGGTCCGGTCGTAATCCATTCACACCAATCACCAAGAGGGGTGGTACTGCATAACCTTTAGATTAAAGGATATTTTATGAAACGACATAACTTTGTTTGAATAACTGCAAAATTCATGTTTCATTTAATCTAGCTGTAATTATTGTTCAGTTCAGCACACACGTATACACACAAGTGCTTGCAGACCGAAGTCTGGGAATTGTAAATTTAAAATAGATGTAAATTTATAAAAAAAGTTAGTACCTGTATTTGTGGATTTTATCATTAACATGCTTATCACAGACCTAGGGTAGAATATAACAACCCCCCAGTACTAGATAATTGGCTACTTAAAGTGACATTAATAATCAAATACAATAGCATTACAGTGATACATAATCACTGTGATGTTCATGGGCTGTATTCATTGTGTGATGTTCATGGGTTGTATTCATTGTGTGATGTTCGTGGGTTGTATTCATTGTGTGATGTTCCTGGGTTGTATTCATTGTGTGATGTTCATGGGTTGTATTCATTGTGTGATGTTCATCGGTTGTATTCATTGTGATGTTAATAGGTTGTATTCATTGTGATGTTAATAGGTTGTATTCATTATGTGATGCTCATGGGTTATATTTATTGTGATGTTCATGGGTTGTATTCATTATGTGATGTTCATGGGTTGTATTTATTGTGATGTTCATGGGTTGTATTCATTGTGATATTCATGGGTTGTATTCATTGTGTGATGTTCATGGGTTGTATTCATTGTGATGTTAATGGGTTGTATTCATTATGTGATGTTCATGAGTTGTATTCATTGTGATGTTCATGGGTTGTATTCATTGTGTGATGTTCATGGGTTGTATTCATTGTGATGTTAATAGGTTGTATTCATTGTGATGTTAATAGGTTGTATTCATTGTGTGATGTTCATGGGTTGTATTCATTGTGTGATGTTCATGGGTTGTATTCATTGTGATGTTAATAGGTTGTATTCATTGTGATGTTAATAGGTTGTATTCATTGTGTGATGTTCATGGGTTGTATTCATTGTGTGATGTTCATGGGTTGTATTCTTTGTGTGATGTTAATGTGTTGTATTCATTATGTGATGTTCATGGGTTGTATTCATTGTGTGATGTTCATGGGATGTATTCATTGTGGTGTTAATGGGTTGTATTCATTGTGTGATGTTCAAGGGTTGTATTCATTGTGTGATATTAATGGGTTGTATTTATTGTGTGATGTTCATGGGTTGTATTCTTTGTGTGATGTTCATGGGTTGTATTCATTGTGGTGTTAATGGTTGTATTCATTGTGGTGTTAATGGTTGTATTCATTGTGGTGTTAATGGGTTGTATTCATTGTGTGATGTTAATGCGTTGTATTCATTGTGTGATGTTAATGGGTTGTAATCATTGTGATGTTCATGGCTTGTAATCATTGTGATGTTCACAGGTTTTGTACATTGTGTGATGTTCATGGCTTGTAATCATTGTGATGTTCACAGGTTTTGTACATTGTGTGATGTTCATGGGCTGTATTTATTGTGTTTATTTATTGTATATATTGTGTAAATTTCATGCGTTTTATTTCTTGTGATATACACAGGTTGTAGTTTTTGTTATGTTCATTGGATTAAACAAAAAAGTAAATTTTCATAGATTCTATTATTTGCATGTTGTTCATAGGTTCTATTCATAGGTTCATAGGTCCCTCAGAGCTTAATTCATCTTCTGTAACTCAGTAAAATTCTCTCCTATAAAGATGTTTCCATGGCTCATAATCTCAGGAATTTGCGGTGGCTATTGTTCCTTTGACATGCCAGACCTTGGGTTGAACAATCCACTACCGAGCGCCCACCTCACAACTGCGTTCATTGTCGCGGTTGTTCATTCAAGAAATCATATCATTAAGCTCTTCAGTCATAAAACTGAGGACACTATATAACCGAGCACTTCCGTCACAGAACTGATAGCACTCTAATCATAATATTTTTTTACTTTAACTTCCTGTCCCATATTTTTGTAGTGGATTATTTTGCGTAAACAGGCAAAATAGGCAATTTCCGTTGAACTATTTACCTTTCTGGTCAGACAATAAACGCTAACAAACATTGGTCACTAGTTTGGGCTTTGAAGAGATCTTTATTCGGGTTCTCTTGCTAGGAAGCTATTGAAGATGTTGGTCAATAGCTTCCCAGCAAGATCTGTTTCAAACCTAAACTAATGACTGAAATTTGCCAATCTTTACAATCTGACTCACCCCCCCCCTAAAAAAATGGAGATTTATTAGTATTGTCTCAGTTATTACCTAGTTAATGCTTGGTGAACAGGTGCATTAGGTGACAAGAAACGCCCCCAACTATTTCTGTCCCGCCCGGAATTCGAACCCATATTTTTATATTGTAAAGCGAGAACGAACTCAACTGTACTACAGGAACCCTTTCCATAATTAGTGTACTATGCATTACGTTGTGCCTAGACACTATTCAACTCTAATAATATTGTTTGTGATTTTCCTAAGATCCCACTTTCCTAAGATCTTTTCATTTACTAGTGAAACAAAATATGAATACAATAAACTCTGTAGTGAAGCTGTGTACTGAATAATTGTAAATTGGTTCAGAAACAGGGTTGTTAGTTTATGGGGGGGGGGGGGCAATAGGCCTTCTGTAGTTACTTTCATTCATTCATCGAGTACATCTAGGTGAGTACAACCACTATAAAACTTACAGGCTATTCATGCCCGTGCCACCTGTTGGGTGGCTTAATCTTTATCAATTTTTATCACTATAGAGGACTGACCTTCAGGACAGGTGTCGTTAGTGAGAGAGAGACAGTGATTTGGGTCGTTGCGCCAGCGGATGTTGGAGGACCTGGGAGGAGGAGCCGTGGAGGCGTTGAAGGCGTTTATCTCGGCGGCCATCCTCTCGCCCTCCCTCGACTTGACACTCAGGTAGAAACCCAGGATACACACGCCTATCAGCGTCACGCCGATCTGCAGAGAGGGGAACCCCGTTCATGTTGCTGATCAGTGCGCTGCCTAATTCAACATTTCAGCACAACAATATATCATTGAAATTAAACCATTTATTTTTATTTTACTTATATATATATATATAAAGGAAGGGTACATTGGGCTTATGAGAGTACATAGCATTGATGTTTTTGCATTCTTGTAAAGCCAACTAACACGCATAGTGTTTCGGGCAGGTCCTTAATCTAACAGATAATGGTATCAAGTTATTTACTAGATTAATTTTAGACGGGAACACTTAAAGTTTTTGTGTGGTTTCATTAAGGAAAGTATTAGGCTCTCGATAGAGTTCTCCAAAATAACGAAACTTGTATTTCTCGTTAGTTATTGAACAGTAACATTATATAACGTGGTCTGCTTCACTATCCAACAATACAAAACACGTATAGTACTCACCAACACAGCCAAAATTAGTCTCCATTTTTTTGTGTAAAGTGGGCTCTGAAAAAACAGAAGTACGACAATTAATATTAATAATAAGAGCGAGAAATGTGTTTTACAATATATATATATATGTCGTACCTAGTAGCCAGAACTCACTTCTCAGCCTACTATTCAAGGCCCGATTTGCCTAATAAGCCAAGTTTTCCTGAATTAATATATTTACTATAATTTTTTTCTTATGAAATGATAAAGCAACCCTTTTCTCTATGTATGAGGTCATTTTTTTTTATTGGAGTTAAAATTAACGTAAATATATGACCGAACCTAACCAACCCTACCTAACCTAACCTAACCTATCTTTATAGGTAAGGTAGGTTAGGTAGCCAAAAAAAGCTAGGTTAGGTTATAGGTAGGTAGGTAGGTAGACGAAAAAACATTAATTCATGAAAACTTGGCTTATTAGGCAAATCGGGCCTTGAATAGTAGGCTGAGAAGTGCGTTCTGGCTATTAGGTACGACATATTATATATATATATATATATATATATATATATATATATATATATATATAGCTCTTCAGTCGTTAGGCATTTGTCTTGTAAGTTTTGTAACCTTTTAATACACAATAAAGCAAAAAAAAAAAAAAAAAAAAAAAAAAAAAAAAAAAAAAAAAAAAAAGGAAGGGGGTGGTAGGAGAAAAGCACACAGAAACTGTATTGGAGGGGACCTACATTCCCTCCAATGCGTTATGTGTGGTTTCCTCCGAGGCTATGGGTCCCCCTTCCAGCCAGAGGTGGTACTCCCTTCCCTTTTTTAATAAAAAAAAAAAAAAATATATATATATATATATATATATATATATATATATATATATATATATATATATATATATATATATATATATATATATATATATATATATATATATATATTCGGAATATGTTGGACCACGAAGGAAGGATTAAGACAGGAATTTCCTTCAGTACTTTTGTATTTAATAATACATCTTCAGAAGGATGTATTATTCACATCTTTTACGCATATTATTTGAATGTATTATTCGCAATAATACATCTTCAGATCCTTCTGAAGATGTTTTTGAGCCTACTGGGTTCTATCATATCTACATTTGAAACTGTTTGGAGTCTGCCTCCACCACATTACTGCCTAATGCATTCAATTTGTTAACTAGCCTGACACTAAACAAAATTTTTTCTAATGTCTCTGTGGCTCATTTGTGTATTAATCTTCCACCTGCGGTCGCGTTCCACCCATGAATATATCTATTTTTTTAAATATTATAATATTATTATTATTATTATTATTATATTAAAAAAAACCTGGAGATGCGGGGTATCGATCCCCGTACCTCTCACATGCTAAGCGAGCGCTCTACCATCTGAGCTACATCCCCGTAAACCTGGAGGTGCCGGGGATCGAACCCGGGGCCTTTCACATGCAAAGCGAACGCTCTACCACTGAGCTACACCCCCTCCTCCTCTTAGATTGTAATTTATAATGTAAAATATCCTCTGTCTGATTAAGACCTATGCCACCTGTTAAACTTTTTTGGCGTTACCGCTAATAGGGTGAGTATGGGGTGTAGAACAAAGTATACCCGCCGCTGACGGCAACAATGAAAGCTTCACCAACAACGAGCACCGCCACACCCAAGCATCCACCCACTGCAACACTGTTAATAAGACTAGGTGTACAGCGCTCCTAGTCGGTATTCGCTCAATACGTCAAACATAAAGAGTCCCGGTAGTTCTTCATTCACGATCGAGAATTCCGGGTTCGAATCGCGGGTGGGGCAGAAACAGTTGGGCGCATTTAGTAGTGAATTAGATACCCGGGAGTTGGGTAGCTGTTGTGGGATGCATCTTGGGGAAGGTCAGTAGTTGGCCTATGGGGTAGGAGGTGAGGGTGGGGGGGCCTTGATAAGTACAGATTTCCTGTCCCAACAACTGGAATCATTATATGATACAGTACACAGCCCTGAAGTGAGATTAAGTAACATTAAGTTGTACACGCTTCCTTGATGACGTGAGCAAGATTGGCTTGTGTGACTTTTTGCTACATTTGCTCAATAATTTTGGGTAAGAACTTGGCACATGAAGGGGCCGTGTTTGGCGGAACTTCCAAAGCTCATTTACTTGTTTGTGAAGCCTGTAGCGCAACGGAGTGGCCTCACGACCTATAGGATCCCAGTTCGATTCCTGGGCAGAACGAGACGTTCTTTTCACCTAGCAATAAATAGGTACTAATGAGTTAGGTAACATTTGTGGGGTAGCAGTGTGAGGAAGGTCAACTGTAACCCTAGTGGGACCTCGATAACCCGAACAGGCTTCCTGTCCCTGATAATGGGGCACTATGAGAGGAAACTGGCCGATGCGAAAAGAAGGTTGTAACAGCCTGATGGATGCCAGCTAGGTGACCCTGACGCTGGCCAAACTACAGGAAGTCAGCACTCAGGTCCAACGAGGTCTCTCTAGGCCAACTACCAGCCTCACCCCTGGATGCAACCCACAAACAATTGCCTGGTGAACAGAGGCATCAGGTGAGAGGGAACCGTGTCCAAGAGAATCCAGGTCCCTTGGGTGTGAGCCGAGGACGTGGACCACTCTGCTAGAGAACCCACTGTACAACAATAGGGAAGGGAACTATTAGGAGAACGCGCCAAGCCATTACGACTATATAGCTCTAGGAAGGGATCAGAATAAGGGTTTGGGATGAGACGGGGGGAAAGGAATGGTACCCAACCATTTGGACAGTCGGGAGATTGAACGCCGACCTGCATGAAGCTCTACCGTCGCTCTACCGTCCAGCAGTAGTAGAACAGGCACATAAGTGCATTTTATTTGTGATGTATTTACACTGGATAGGATAAATGCATTAACAGTGGAAGAGGTTATCTTGAGGTTATCTTGAGTTGATTTCGAGGCCTAGCGTCCCCGCGGCCCGGTCCTCTACCAGGCCTCCTTTTTGTTACACATCCCCCCAGGAAGCAGCCCGTAGCAGCTGTCTAGCTTCCAGGTACCTATTTACTGCTAGGTGAACAGGGGCATCAGGGTTAAAAAAAACATTTTGCCCATTTGTCTCCGCCTCCACCGGGGATCGAACCCGGAACCTCAGGACTACGAATCCGAAGCGCTGTCCACCCAGCTGTCAGGAGCATGAGCTCCGTGAATACACAGTAAATTCCATCACACAAACACAAAATAACAAGGTCAACAGTAACAAAGGAAACAACAGAAGTAACACTAACGGAGCTCTCAGTAACAACAGAAGTAACACTAACGGAGCTCTCAGTAACAACAGAAGTAACACTAACGGAGCTCTCAGTAACAAGTCAGTCTCCGTGGTGTAGTGGTAAGACACTCGCCTGGCGTTCCGCGAGCGCTATGTCATGGGTTCGTATCCTGGCCGGGGAGGATTTACTGGGCGCAATTCCTTAACTGTAGCCTCTGTTTAACGCAACAGTAAAATGTGTACTTGGATGAAAAAACGATTCTTCGCGGCAGGGGATCGTATTCCAGGGACCATAGGATTAAGGACTTGCCCGAAACGCTACGCGTACTAGTGGCTGTACAAGAATGTAACAACTCTTGTATATATGTCAAAAAAAAAAAAAAAAAAAAAAAAAAAAAAAAAAAAAAAAAAAAAAAACAAGTAACACTAACGGAGCTCTCAGTACCAACAGAAGTAACACTAACGGAGCTCTCAGTAACAACAGAAGTAACACTAACGGAGCTCTCAGTAACAACAGAAGTAACACTAACGGAGCTCTCAGTAACAAAGGGAGCAACAGGAACACCAGAAGAATCACTTGGGGAAGCTGGGAGCAAGAGGGACACAAGGCACCACGCAACACATTGCTCTCTCCTTCCTCTCACCCCCCCCCCCCACCACCACCACCACCCCCCAACAAGCGGATGCCGCACTCAAGAAATGTCAAGGTACAAATGTTACTTTAACGAGAATTTACAAACAGGTTTGAACGCTTGAAACAATCAAGGGATCCTACTTCTGTGTTTTGTGTAAAACCCTGGTTTGTGCCTCGGAGAGGCTGCAGGATCCTATTAATTTAATTAAGTTACGCGGTAATTGGTTCCACAAATAAACAACCCTGTTACCGAACCAGTATTTACCCAGGTCTTTCCTAAATCTAAATCTTATCCAGTTTATGCCCATTGTTTCGTGTTCTGTGTTGATACTTTCAATACCCAACATTAATATTTTTAATACCAGTTGTAGGTGGTTCGGTAGTGTACACTACGGAACTAGCCTATCGAACAGAAACGGGAAGAATCTATCTGTTTACCTCCAAGTATACTTAATTACTGTTGGGTACACCAAGGCGAACAGTGGATGAACGGTACCGTCCCCACACCCTAAGCAAGGGTTCGACCCTAATCAAGTTTACATGGCCGAGTTCCAGTTCTTGGGCCCACAATTTCAATCGTTCAATTCAATAGCTGCAGACTTTTTCGTTCCTTGCTAAGCGGCGGGAATGAATATATAGTCTAAATTGTTTTACGTTCCCTACACTACATATATATATATACTTACTAAGATTACTAAGGCATAGTTAAGTGCCTAGCACCCACGCATGTTTTCTCGTTCTTCTGCTGGCCAACAGTGTTTTCGTCCGTTATAGTCACTCCCCTAAGTATTTTGTATGTCTGGATCATGTTCCATCTAGTTCTTGTTTCATAAATTGACGATACGTTTAAGTTTCTTAATTTATCCGTTCAGTTCTGGAACCAGTCGTGCGGTAAACCAGAGCGTTTTATTGGTCTTTATTTTGTTATTTTAGTGTTTACTAGTTGTGTTTTGCGGGGGTTGAGCTTTGCTCTTTGGGCCCGCCTCTCAACTGTCAATCAACTGTTTACTAACTACTTTTTTTTTTTTTTTTCCCCACACCACACACACACACCCCAGGAAGCAGCCCGTGACAGCTGACTAACTCCCAGGTACCTATTTACTGCTAGGTAACAGGGGCACTTAGGGTGAAAGAAACTTTGCCCATTTGTTTCTGCCTCGTGCGGGAATCG